TCTAGCACAGGTAAAAAGTTATAGTGGTTTGAAAAAGAACTTGAAATTTTTGCAAAAAAATAAAAGTTGGAAAGGTGGGGACCTTTGAAGAAAATAAAATTTTTGCAATTTTTTTGGATTTTTTATTTTGCCAAAAAAATCCCGAAATCTTCATCCCAGCCAATTCAAACAACATTATAAATGTAGGGCAACTTTCAAGCTTTCATTTGGTTCTAATTAGAGCATGATATCTAGCACAGGTAAAAAGTTATAGTGGTTTGAAAAAGAACTTGAAATTTTTGCAAAAAAATAAAAGTTGGAAAGGTGGGGACCTTTGAAGAAAATAAAATTTTTGCAATTTTTTTGGATTTTTTATTTTGCCAAAAAAATCCCGAAATCTTCATCCCAGCCAATTCAAACAACATTATAAATGTAGGGCAACTTTCAAGCTTTCATTTGGTTCTAATTAGAGCATGATATCTAGCACAGGTAAAAAGTTATAGTGGTTTGAAAAAGAACTTGAAATTTTTGCAAAAAAATAAAAGTTGGAAAGGTGGGGACCTTTGAAGAAAATAAAATTTTTGCAATTTTTTTGGATTTTTTATTTTGCCAAAAAAATCCCGAAATCTTCATCCCAGCCAATTCAAACAACATTATAAATGTAGGGCAACTTTCAAGCTTTCATTTGGTTCTAATTAGAGCATGATATCTAGCACAGGTAAAAAGTTATAGTGGTTTGAAAAAGAACTTGAAATTTTTGCAAAAAAATAAAAGTTGGAAAGGTGGGGACCTTTGAAGAAAATAAAATTTTTGCAATTTTTTTGGATTTTTTATTTTGCCAAAAAAATCCCGAAATCTTCATCCCAGCCAATTCAAACAACATTATAAATGTAGGGCAACTTTCAAGCTTTTATTTGGTTCTAATTAGAGCATGATATCTAGCACAGGTAAAAAGTTATAGTGGTTTGAAAAAGAACTTGAAATTTTTGCAAAAAAATAAAAGTTGGAAAGGTGGGGACCTTTGAAGAAAATAAAATTTTTGCAATTTTTTTGGATTTTTTATTTTGCCAAAAAAAAAAAATTTTTGCAATTTTTTTGGATTTTTTATATTGCCAAAAAAATCCCGAAATCTTCATCCCAGCCAATTCAAACAACATTATAAATGTAGGGCAACTTTCAAGCTTTCATTTGGTTCTAATTAGAGCATGATATCTAGCACAGGTAAAAAGTTATAGTGGTTTGAAAAAGAACTTGAAATTTTTGCAAAAAAATAAAAGTTGGAAAGGTGGGGACCTTTGAAGAAAATAAAATTTTTGCAATTTTTTTTGGATTTTTTATTTTGCCAAAAAAATCCCGAAATCTTCATCCCAGCCAATTCAAACAACATTATAAATGTAGGGCAACTTTCAAGCTTTCATTTGGTTCTAATTAGAGCATGATATCTAGCACAGGTAAAAAGTTATAGTGGTTTGAAAAAGAACTTGAAATTTTTGCAAAAAAATAAAAGTTGGAAAGGTGGGGACCTTTCCAACTTTTATTTTTTAAAAAAAAAAAGAAAAAAAAAAATAATATACATATACATGATATCTAGCACGGAGCTTATGCAAATATCCTATAGAGTTCAAAATAAATATTAATTAAAGAAATGCATTTTTTTTAAATGAAAATTAATCTTTTTAATTTAAAAAATCATTATATTTTAAAAATAAATTTAAACGAAATTTAAAAGAATTTTAAAAGAAATTCAAAAGATCATTAATTTTAATGAAAAAGGATTTTTTAATGAAAAAAAATAATTTCAATGAAAAAGAATGAATTTTAAATTAAAACGGTAACTTTTTTAAAATTGAAAAAATATAAATATTGCTTATCGATTAGATAATTAGAAGATAATTACTAATATTTATCTCTATATCGTCCTTGAATTTCAATAAAGGAGCCTTCATAACATCAGCCAAAATAAAAGTCTCCAATTCAATATTAAACGTATAATTGCAAAGTTTTGAAATTAATAATTTTATTAGGGGAGGATGGGGCAAGGATAGTTAGGTAAGACCTTTTCGGATCTAGCGGCCAAACTTGATTATGTATCTGTAAATGAAAAGTATTTTTGGAAAGACTGGTTATTTGGCTATAATTTTGCTGTACATTATTTTACTGCAGACTCAAATCCCTACGAGATACGAATAAAAAAGTAATCCGGGGCAAGGATAGTTAAAAGAATTCGAAAACCAAAAATGTTATAGAAAATCAGTAAATTTTTGTTTTTTTTTATTTTACTGGATTTAGACTATTCAATATTGATATCCCAAGTATTAAAAATATGTATGGAACATTTTCTGAATTGCAATTATTATATTAAAATTCATCTGAACTAGAATCAGAAGTTTAACCAATTTTTTTCAGACGACCACTAATTTCTTGGTCATAAGCTTCGTTTTCCGTATATTATAATTACGCACCATTATGTATATCAACCTAAAAAGAACAATTGAACACTTTTTTAAACTTTGCAATGTATTAACAGGATTTTACCGTGCCCTATTATCTCTAACTATCCTTGCCCCATGAGCCCATATTTCAGTTTTTTCCAAATTTTAAGGAACGACGTGAATTAATTTGAAAATAAATACGATATTCGTGTTCAGCAGGAAATTCCACTCCGGAAAACATTTGCGTAAAAAATATTCTGAAATTCTAATGTAGAAAACAATATGATAAACATTACGTTGACATTTTAGCAAATCAGACTTTTTTCAAAAGTAATCTCCCAACTTTGCAAATGGTGACAGATTGACTTGCAATTTTTACAATCATCTTTTGGTGTTAAAACGCGAATATACTATGAATTACGCGATTTTTGAGCAAACCGTCTAAGCATAACAGCAACTAACTATCCTTGCCCCATCCTCCCCTAATATCAAAATTACTTAAATTACTTGGGTCAGTCCATTATATTTCACCTGAATCCGTTGCGGCCTATTTTTAAAAAAATCTCATAATTTGTAAAAATGATGTTTAATATCCATAGAATTCATTTTTGAGAATTCTTTTATAAAATTTTTTGAATTAAACTTAGAATTTTAATTTTTAAGTTAAGTTGCACAGTAAAAAGGTTAGATTGACAGTTCTGAAAATTTAATAAAAAAGCATGGAAATAATTTAGATAATACAAATTTCTTGATTAATATTTGTTAAAAATAAGCTAATTACTTGTATAAATAGATTATTATGTAAACATACCTAAAATAATAGATAAAAATTGATTTTAAAACTTAACTATAAAATGTCAAAAGTCACAACATTTTATTTACACTTTTCTAAAAAGTTTATAAATATTAAAAAATTTATTACTATATAATATAAAGTACTTTCAATATACGTTCATATTATGTGCTAACTTTTTAATTTTATAATAAAGAAATATGAAAAATTTTACCTTTAATATTGAATGTTTCATGATTTTCAGTGATTTTAATCACTTATTTCTTCTCAAGTGCAAGACCAAAAAATCCCATTTTTGTCTTAATATTTAAGTTTGACCTTCTTTTCCATTCTATTAAATTTTGGTGATGGAGAACGAGCTAATTTGTAGTTTTATTCATGTTTAAAAAATCTGCTTCCAAAAGCGAGTTTGTTGGTTAAAATGCAGGTAATTTTATAACACTGAAGTTGGCTATCTCAATAGTTTTGCAAAAATCTACTTGCATTTTAACCAACAAATTCGTTTTTTCAGCAGATTTTTTAAACTGAAAAGTAATTTGTTCTCCATCACCAAAATTTAATAGAATGGAAAAGAAGATCAAACTTTAATATTAAGACAAAAATAGGATTTTTTGGTCTTGCACCTGAGAAGAAATAAGTGATTAAAGTCACTAAAAATCATGAAACACTTAATATTAAACGTAAAATTTTTTATATTTCTATATTATAAAATTAAAAAGTTAGCACATATTATGAAAATACATTAAAAATACTTTACATTAAATAGTAATAAATTTATTAATATTTATAAACTTTTTAGAAAAGTGTAAATAAAATGTTGTGACTTTTGACATTTCATAGGTAAATTTTAAAATCAATTTTTATCTATTATTTTGGGTATGTTTACATAATAATCTATTTATACAAGTAAATTAGCTCATTTTTAACAAATATTAATCAAGAAATTTGTATTATCTAAATTATTTCAATGCTTTTTTATTAAATTTTCATAACTGTCAATCTAACCTTTTTACTGTGCAACTCAACTTAAAAATAAAAATTCTAAGTTTAATTTAAAAATTTTATAAAAGAATTCTCAAAAATGAATTCTATGGATATTAAACATCATTTTTACAAATTATGAGATTTTTTTAAAAATAGGCCGCAATGGCTTCAGGTGAAATGTAATGGACTGACCCTATTGAAATTTATAAAATTGAGGCCTTGGATCCAATAACTCGCCCGACGCTCGGAGGCACGCGCTAATGCCAATCGGGTACCAGTGAGTGGCCCAGAGGCGCTCACTGCTCACTGACTGGCAGTTGCGCGTTCCTCCGAGCGTCGGGCGAGTTATTGGATCCAAGGCCTCAATTATTAATATTAAAATTACTTAAATTATTAATACTGAAATTAATAAAATTATTAATATTAAAATTACTTAAATTATTAATATTGAAATTAATAAAAATTATTAATATTAAAATATTACCGTTGAAAGTAAATCTGTAAAGTCAAAACGAAGATTATCAACTGTATTTTGTTCCTCTTGTGTAAAACTAATGTTATATTTGGACATTAAAGCATAAGTTTCTTCTATTGCAATTAATTCAATATCCAAAGATATAAAATCATTTCGAATCTCTCCGAGACATTTCATTGCAATTCTCACATCTTCCAAATCGTTAATATCCCTCGATAGCATATTTATTTGTATACAACCAACGATATAGAATTCTGGCAAATGATTTATTTCGAGAAAGAGATTTTCAAATTCATCAAATTTATTTTTAATATCAACGACAATTGGCTCGGCATTAATGAATATTTCTAATTGATCGCCTTTATCGTCGGCCCAAATGAAAGAGAAACGTTAATATGACTAAATTTAGACAATTTTCTATTAAAAATACTTATTTACTTTATCGTTACCTTAATAACTTTGGATTTCGTAATTTCGAGGAATTTTAATAATCTTTGTGTTTCTTGTTTCTCTATGTATTCGGTAATTGTTGAAAAGCAAATTAATACTCTTCGCCAATAGAAAAATTCCTCCCTTGGTCCAGCAATCTCCGATTCTCTCCTTAATTGTTGACTTTGTACAACATACTTTAGAGTAAAACAAAAAAAAAGAATTAAAAAATAAAAATTAAAAGAATATTTATATTAATAAAGAAAATTTATACCTTTTTTATAATTTTCATCCATTCGTCTACGATATCTTCAACTTGTAACAATACCTTCTAAGAATTACTACATCTTTTAAGTTCCTCTGGATTCGCTAAACATTTCTGATGAAAATTCCAATCGGTGAAGAATTTTGCATCAATTTTGTACTCCATTTCGGTAACTAAAAAATAAAGGACAAATAATATATTACCAAAAATTATTAATATTATTATTACTATTATTGTAGTTTGAACTTAATTTCAGTAAAATTAAATTATTTTTAAACAATTTTTACTGTACTGTTGAGAAATTTGCAAAAATCTTTAAAGTCGCCAATAAAATCGTCCTTCAATTTTCGATTCGTTTCAGTTTTAAACAATTCACCCCATTCAGAGCATGCAATTAAAACTATCTTACGTAATAAATTCGTAAGTCGGGAAATTTGTGATTGAATTTTTTCCGATTCTGAATTAACATCAACGAAAGCGTAATACGTTTCCTGTTAGAAAAAAAATGTATGGCAAATATTTCCTTTAGAAAATTATATAATAATATTTAATATGTAATCTATAATAAACTAATTTATCAAACTAATAATAAAAATATGAACGAATTGAATAATAAATTAATAAATTGAATTGAAATAGTAAATAAATCATTAATGAAAAAATGAGATAAATAAAATAATAATAATACTAAATAATAAATAAGATTATACAATAAATAAATAATGAAATAAATAATAAATAAAATACTAAATAAAGTTTTAAAATACAGTAAATAAATACTTCCAACAATTGTTCCATTTCGTATTCAATGTCAGAGCGTAAACGATAAACAAAGACACATTTCCCATATTTATTTTCTGAATTTTTGTCAATAATAACAGATCGTAAAATTGTTTCCTCTTTTATAGATTCTGGTGTCCAGCAACCAGTTTCTATGAAAATAAACATCGACAATCAATTCTGAATGAAAATAAATTTTTCCACTTAAATTCAAATAATTAAATGGAAAATTCATTTTCTATGACTTTTTATTTCTTCATTTTCATTATTTTTTTTATATTGCGTTGATATTTAAGTAAAATAAAGAAAATAAATATATTTTCTCGTATATTCTCATTATTTTCTGTAAATTGAATTGATATTAAGAAAAATAAAGAAAATAAATACATTTTCATAATTTTGTGTCAATCTCATTTTAATTGAATGAATATTCAAACAAAATAATAAAAATAAAAGAATAAAAATTTTAATTTAAATACAAACGCAGAAAATAAATTTAAAAATGATCTATTTCATTAAATAAATGAAGAAAAGTAAATATTGTTCAAATACCAAAGGAAGGTGGAGAGACTTTTTGCAATTGCAAGGCAATTATTTGTCTTCCACCTTTTTTAAAAAAATCAAGAAAAGAATCTATATATTCATCCTTATAAATAATTCTTCGACCACCATTTTCGAAATTGAACAATCAACACTAAACAAAAAAGTAGATGATCAAGAAAATTTGTTTAATTGAAAAAAATTGTATCCACCAAACGTTGTTTAGTATTTTCCAAAAAAAAGTGACTTTGCTCTTCTTTCCGGAAAGTCAGGACATTCATTTTCTATTATTGGCAATGAATAATCACGCTCTAAATTATGCGAAATATTTGACATTTTTTTTCTCTTTTCTAAAATTTTCTCTAATGTTTTTTTAGAATTTAAAGAATATTAATTAAATATTATTTCGCATTCCAAAGTTTTTCATCTTTCTTTTCAAAAACATTTTTATCAAAACGTCAACTATGAAATGAGTAGAAATTCACTTCATCAAAATAGCGTTTCTCTTTTATTTTCGATATTTCAATCGCTATAAAAATTAATTTAACAATTATCAATAAACAAAATATTGATAATATTAAGGTAGATATTTCAAAATAAAAATTAAAGGATTAAATAAAAAATAGAAAGATTAATCAATATTAAAATTAAAATATTAAAATAAGTTATTGAAATTAAAAATACCAAAAATATTTAAGCAAATTTTCCCCTACGAGCCTGAGAATGATTTCAATAATTACCTTTTAGATTCGAAAATCGACGAATAACGTGACGAATGAAAAAGCAAAATATTTTGATTCGCTTGAATTGAAAACTTTGCTCCTCCCTCAGATTTCGTCCATAAATATTCCTTCAATTTTGGGAACTTCTCATTATTGTCTTGTCCCTGAAAGTGAAAATTAATTTTAATTATTGTCTCTAAAAGAGAATTTAATTTTGTATCGTCTAAATAAACATTAAATGTATAAATAAAAAGTGAAACTAAAAGTATAAATAAAAAGTAACTAAAAGTATAAATAAAAAGTATAACTAAAAATACAAATAATAATTAATAGAACAGTATAAATAAATAAATTTCAAGTGAATAAATATTAAAGAAGAAAATGCCGAAAACTAAAAAGAAGGTTGAAGAAGTTGAAGTAATGGAAGAGGATGACGAATCCAGTGAAAATGATTCAAGCTCAGAAAATTCAGAGTCTGAAAATGAATCCGAAGAATCTGATGAAGCATCTTCAGCAGCAGCACCACCACCAGTAGTTGTGAAAAAACAAGAAATGAAGGGAAAAATGAAAAAAACCAAAGAATCACCACCACCAATGAAAGCTAAAAAGAAAATGACAACATCAAATAAACAAGATAGTGCAGCATCCACTAGTGGACATCATCGTGCACCACCTAGAAGAAAGAAAACATACAGCTACAGTATCTACATTTACAAAGTTCTTAAACAAATACATGAAGATTCCAGCATATCAACTAAATCTATGGTAATAATGAATAACTTTATGGATGATATATTCGAACGTATTGCAATGGAAGCTGCTGAACTTTGTAAGAAAAATCAGACAAAAACATTAGGATCAAGAGAAATACAAACGGCAGTGAAATTACTTCTTCCTGGCGAATTGGCTAAACATGCAATGAGCGAAGGACATAAAGCTTTAGAAACTTATAACAAAAATAAATAAAAATAAATAAAAATTTCGCACAATATTTGGTATCTCAATTGTGGAATTTTGTATGCCGAAATATTTTTTTATGAATTTTCCTAAATTCTTAATTATTTATTATACCAAGTATTTATTCATATTTAATATATATCTTATGTGTTCATAGAAATTCATTAATTATTAATTACTAATTCACTAATTCACTAAAAAATGGCCCTTTTCAGGGCCGCCAAATTTTTAAAAGTTGGAATTACTTTTTGTTCTTTAAACATTTACATAAGTATGTATTTTATTGTCCATGTGTTATTTATTTTTATTTAATAATTATTACACTTATAATTATTAAATAAAAATATCTATTTTCAAATAGCAAATATTATTTGTGGTATTTAATTTATTATTGTTATTATTATGTAAATTTCAAATTTTTTTTAATTTCAAATTTCAATTTTTGAATGATTTTAGATTCAAAGTTTTTCAAAATTCACTTACTAACTATTTAATTATTATTATTTATTATGTTTTAAAATATTAATAAAATTCTTTGAAAGAATTCAATTATTTTCGAAAATTTTGATATAATTAATAATTAATTAAATTTTAATTCTTTAAATTATTTCAAGTACAATTTTAATTGGATTTTTCTCGAAAGAATTTCAATTTTCTTCGTAACACCTGAATTTGTATTTTTACAAATTTTATTATTTTTTAAATTTATTTTATTATTTTTATAAATAATAAAGTGTTTTGCAGTAATTCAATTAATCTTAAATACAATTTTTATAAAATTTGTTTATTAGAATTTAATTTTTCTTTTGTAATTTTAATTAAATTTCTCGAATGAATTTAATTATTTTCCAAAATTATAATGTAATTCTTCGTAAAAATTCAATTATTTCAAAAATTTGGATAAAACTCTTCATAAGAATTCAATTAATTTAAAAAAATTTTAATTAAATTCCTGAAAATAATTCAAATACTTTCAATATACAATTTTCATAAAATTTCTTGATAGAATTCAATTTTTTTGTATAAATAATAAAATTCTTTACAGAAATTAAATTATTTTCAATACAAATTCTTGAAAGATTGCAAATATTTTTACAAACAATAAAATTCTTCGTAGGAATTCAATTTACTTTCATTACAATTTTAATAATTCTCAAAGGAATTGAATTATTTAAAAAAATGTTAATAAAATTATTCGTAAAAATTCAATATTGTTAATAGAAGAATTTTAATTAAATTTTTCAAAAGAAGAATTTTTATAAAATTTCCTGATAGAATTCCTATTATGTATTTTTAAAAATTTTCATCGAATTCTTGAAAGATTGCAATTATTTTTATAAATAATAAAATTCTTCTGAGAAATTAATTTATTTTCAATACAATTTCAATAAAACTTCAAGAAATAAATAAATTATATTTTTCAAAGTTTTAATATCATTTTTCGAAAGAATTCAATTATTTTCTAAAATTTTTAAATATTGTTAGTTAAAAAAATTCTAAGATTAAAAAAAAAAATTTCATCTTTTAAAATAAATAAATAATAAATAATAAATAAATAATAATAATGTAATTTATAAATTTTTCTTGACATCATTATAATAAAAATAATAATACTAAAAATAATAATGCTAAAAATAATTTTTATATTACCTTTCAGAAAATACTGGATTCGAATTGAAAATTTCTCCTTCTCCCTTAAATTTTCATGCTAATGTTCTCCGCATGGATCGATGGATCCATTTTTTAATTGTTTCTGAAAAAAGAATTTAATTTTTAAAATTAGTGCCAAAATTTGGAAGTAATTATTAAAATAATAAATATTAAGTAACAATTAAAAAAAATTTCTTCATTAAATATTTCTTTACTATTTATAAAGAAAAAAGTTAAATAAAAATTTAATTTTTCATATATCTGAAACATTTCACTATCCATAAAAATTTTTCTCTGCAGTTGAATAATTTTTGTATTTGAATAATATTTTCCTTCAATTTAATTTAATTTGTTCTTTTTAAATTTGTTTTTGCTCTATTTTGCCAATATTTACCAATCGGAGAGAGAGTTTTCTTCGCATGAAAAAGAAGAATCTTTTTTAACTAATAAAATTTTTGATTGTATAAACAGGTAGCGCAAGTCTTTCCTCCTCTTCGCAAAAGGTTCAGTTTCAGTGCAACTCTCGTCGCGATTGTAGACCTCTCATCGTTTTTAGTAAGACCTCAGTCCACGTGTATTTTTTTTCTCAACATTTGCAATAATTTAAACAAGTAATTTTCTCCTACTCTTGTTTTTTTAAATTTTATAAAAGAAATGAAAAGTTTTTATCTGCTCTTAATAATAAAGATCAACATTGTTGTTTATCTGCAAACAAAACAATTTTTTTAATTTAATTCCAAAAAATTCAAAAACAATCAACTTTTATTGACAAAAAAAAAAAGTAATTCTCATTAGAGAATTAAATTTCTCATTCTCAATAAAGAAAAATTTTAATTCTTATTTATTTTTTTGCAAAACTTTTTTTTATTTTAACTAATTTTAAAGTAACTTCAAACTTGAGTAAATAATTTCAAAGAAATTACTTTTTTATACTCATAAAATCGACTTTTTGTTTCAAACTTAAAAATTTAGAGTTGATGAAATAATTTTAATTGATAAGTTAATTGTTTGTTGATCTATATTAATAATGCTCTCGTTAAATAAAAAAAATGTATTTTGTTTAAAAAAAGAAACAAAGTTGCTACAAATACACCAGGAAATTATCGAACATAACGTACAGGATGTGGTTTGAAATTCTATCTGAATGTGAAAAAACACTTAAATCACATGGAATTCCCATGAGGAAGAATTAAGTCGCACTGCAAATTGAATTTTGGTTTTAAATAAATATCACAGCTGTTTATATTTTTACTAATTTTTAAAAGAAAACAATAGGAACAATCAAAATGAAGGCCAGCGACGAAAAGAAACCATTAATACCATCAACATCAACTTCAATTGGCCACGAAAGAGTTTCCTATCATTCAGTTATATTCGTGAGTATAATTTTTTTTTTATGAATTACTATCTCCAAGTGTACAAATTTCCTATTTCTTTCTGATTCATATTATGATTATGATTAATATTCATATTTATTATTTAAATATTTAATATATTTAATTAAAAATATCTAATTAATACTAGTAAAATAAAGTGAAAAGTTTATTTAAAAAATAATTTTTGCATAAAGTTAAGTTTTAATTTATTTTTTTCAATTAATTTAAAAATTTTAAATTTATTCCTCTTGTATTAACAAAAATTTATTGTATTTGTTATATTTTAAATTATAAACTGACTCGAAAGAATTTTTTCTTAACACGTAATCTAACCACATATATTGAATTGCATCAATTACGTGATAAATCTTCTGGATTTTTAAAATATTCCTGTATAACTGGATTTTACCTTGAGTTTTTCTATGTTAAAAAATCGAAATATAATATTGATTTATATAAATTTACTCAATATTAATTCAAAACAAAAAAAAATATTTTTATTCAGAAATTTTCTTCAAGAGAAAAGAATTATTTATTCCGAATAATTGACAATAAAAGAATATAATAATTGGGAAACATTGAGAATTAGTAATCATAATAAATATTTCTTATTTAAAGAGTAATATAAAGGGGACGAACAGACTGTTTGAAACCCTAGCAAGAATAATGGTATTTAGCATCATTTTGGCTTCACACCAGAAATTTAACACCGACTCAAATAATTCAGAAATGTCAATAAACTCTTGTTTCTTTCTTTATAGAAATAAATAAAAATTATTCAATAATTCAAGTTTAAAATTTAATTTTTTATAAAAGTAGAATAAATTGAAGCAAATTATTATTTAGTTATTTTAGTATTTATTTTAAATATTAAGTAAATTTAAAATTAAAAAGAAAATAAATTTAAAAGTATTTTAAAATTCTTTTATATTAAAATCTCTCAAATATGTTACAAAAAAAACAAAAGAAATAAATAATTAGAATTTCAGAAAATAAAAATCTAACGGTTAACCAGAGTTATGGTGGACAATAAATTTAATTTTTATTGCTCAAGTGAAAATGTAATTTTTACGTGGTTAACCCATAAATTATTTTTCACTCAGTGCATCTGACCACATGAAAAATGTCTCTCTTGTTTGACATAACAAGTAGTCATTGCCAACTTTGTATCTTAATTATTTGTATTTTAATTGTTCCAAAAATAAAAGTTATGGAATTAATTTTTAAAAAGGAATATGATTATTATAAAAATATTTAAAATTATTCTAATAAAAAAATGAAATTGATTTTAAAAATTAATTTTTAAAAAACGAAAGTGATTAATTCTAAAAATATTTATAATTATTTCTATTTTGCAAACTATTAATAACGTTTTTCTTTTTTGAAAAATATTTATAACTATTGGTAATAAAAATTCTGTAGAATTTTTATTGTTGAATTATTTTAAAGGATGCTCACCTCGGGATAACGTCTCAAACTCGAACACCTGAGGCCTCATTGCAAATGGAACCGATGCAAGGCTCAACATCGGAAAAAATTAATCCAAATGATGCATCCGATAAAATCACTTATACCTGGAGTGATGTAAATGTTTTTGCCGCAACGGAAAGTGAGCGTTTTTGGAAGAGGATGCTGTGGAGGAATTCCAGACGACCTGTTCAACAGAAACATCTTCTTAAAGATGGCAAGTCACAGAATTCTTAATCTACGCATAATCTATTAATTTCAATATAATAAATAAAAAAATTGAAAATCAAATAGAAATAAAAGTAAATAAAATAGGAATAAAATAAATAAAATAGAAATACAAGTGAATAAAAAAGGAATAAAATAAATAGAATATAAATAAAAATAGATAGAATAGAAACAAAATAAAATAGAAGTAACAATAAGCAAAATAGAGATCAAATATAAATAAAAATACTTAGAATAGAACCGAAATAAATAAAATAGAAATAACAATAAGCAAAATAGAAATCTATATTAATAATCGTTGTATTTCGGTAATCTGTTCGCAGTTTGAAGTTAGTTGCTGTTTACTTTTTTGTTTCCTAACTTTTTAAATATTTTTTCTTAAAATTTTAAAATTGTAAAATTATTCTACTGATAATCATTGAATTCTTGTAAAGCATTAATAATAAAATTTGAAAATAATTGAATTTTATGACGAATTCAATTATTTTTAATAATTGTAATACAATTCTTTAGTCATTTTATAATTAATAAAAATCTTCCTAAAAAATTCAATTATTTTTATATAAATAATAAAATTCTTATCAGGATTTCTCTTATTTTCAATACAATTTTAATTAATTTCTTTGAAAATTTCAATTATTTTTAAAAATCTTGTAAAAATTCTCCAAGAAAATTCAATTATTTAAAAAAAATAATTGAATTTTTCACAGGAATTCAATTATTTAAAAAACTTTTAATAAAATCCAATTCAAGAATTCAATTATTTTTAAAAAGAATGAAATTTTCGCTGGAATTCAATTATTTTAAATACAATTTTAATAAAATTCTTCTCAAAAATTCACTTTTTTTTTTAATTTTGCAAAAATTAAATTATTTGCAGAAATAATAAATTTTTTTGTCAGCGATTTAATTATTTTAAAAAGTTTTAATAAAATTCTATTCAAGAATTCAATTATTTTCAGAAATAATTAAATTTTTATTGTACTGAAAATCATTAAATTATTGTGAAATATTAATAAAAAAATTCGAATATAATTGAATTCATTTCAAGAATTTTATCAACATTTTTTCAAATAATTGAATTCTTTCGAGAACATGTAATTAAAATTGTATTGAAAATAATTTAATTCTTAAAAAGATTTTTATTAAAATTCTTTAAAACAATGAAGTTTCTTAATATAATTTTTACTGAAAATTTTGATAATAAATGTTTTTAAAGTAATTTTTATTTAAAATTTTTAAAATAATTGAAAATTGCAAAGAATATTATTAAAAACTTTTAAGAACTTCATTACAATTTCGAAAAGTAATTGAACCTGTTAGAGAAATTTTATTAAAATTGTATTGAAAATAATTGAATTTCTTAGAAGAATTTTATTATTTACAAAAATAATTAAATTCTTGTCAAGAATTTTACAATTTATAAAAATAATTAAAATTGTTTCAAAGAATTATTTATCAAAATTGATGAAAATATTAAAATTTTTATTAAAAATCTTGAAAGTGATTGAATTTAAATAATATTTTGAAAAATAATTGTATTTTTTTGAGAAATTTTATTAAAATTGCATTGAAAATAGTTGAATTGCTCCGAAACATTTTATTATTAATGAAAATAATTGAATTTCTTCTAAGAATTTTCTTATTTATGAAAATGTTTTAATCTTGTGAAGAATTTTCTTTTTTATAATAATAATTGAATTCTTGCGGAGGATTTTACAATTCATAAAAATAATTGAATTGTTTTGAAGAATTTTATCTGAATTTTTGAGAATATTTGAATTTTTGAAGGAATTTTATTAAAAATTTCGAAAATAATGATTTTTTAAAGGAATTTCATCAAAATTGTTGAAAATAATTGAATTTATATTAAAATTCTAGAAAATAATCGAATTTAATTATTAATATTTTAAAAAATACATAATTATATTCTTTCGAGAAATTTTACTAAAATAGAATACCGCGCTCCGCGCGCTGGCGCGCGTATCATTTGCTAGTTAAATAAATAAAATTTAAATAAAATAGAAATAAAAAAACAGAATTGAAATATATAGAGTAAAAATAAAAAAAGATTTACATACTTGAATTTTTTTTTTTTGCAGTGTGTGGAGCAGCATATCCTGGAGAATTATTAATAATCATGGGATCGTCGGGAGCTGGAAAGACGACGCTTTTAAATGCCCTGACATTCCGATCAGGACGCGGTGTCACCGTCTCTGGAACCATGGCAGCCAATGGACACAGAGTTGCTGCCAGTGTCCTGACATCGAGGATGGCTTACGTCCAACAGGATGATCTCTTCGTTGGCACTCTCACCGTTCAGGAGCATTTACTTTTTCAAGCCATGGTGCGAATGGACAGACATATTCCCTTCAGACAAAGAGTCAATAGGGTTGACGAAGTAATTTCCGAGGTGAAGTATTTTTTCCTAAAAAATAAACTTTTTAAATAAAATCAAATATTCTCGAATATCTTCTGACAATTTTCCATCTTAACAAATCGATTCATTTTTTTTAATCCCTTACTCTTTTTTACTATTTATATTCCATCTTAACAAATCGATATATTTCTTAATTTCTAATTATTTTTCATTATTTATATTCCATCTTAACAACGATTTGTTAAGATGGAAGATAAGTTAAGATATATTTCTTAATTCTTCATTATTTAAAATTTTTCGTTTTTTCAGTTGGCATTGACAAAATGTAGAAACACAGTGATTGGAATACCTGGAAGATTGAAAGGCCTCTCGGGTGGAGAAATGAAGCGACTTTCATTTGCTTCTGAAGTTTTAACAGATCCTCCGCTGATGTTTTGTGACGAGCCAACGTCAGGTCTTGACTCCTTCATGGCACATCAAGTTGTTTCCGTTCTAAAAGCTCTGGCTGGTAATTGAGAATTTCATATTTTTCTAAAATAACAGAGAAAAATAACAATTATTTGTTTGTAGCTCGAGGGAAAACAATTATCGCAACTCTCCATCAACCATCATCCGAATTGTTTGCACTCTTTGATCGAATTCTTCTAATGGCAGAGGGACGAGTCGCTTTCATGGGAACTGCAGATCAAGCTATTGTATTTTTCAAGGCGTAAGTCTCATTTTTTCTCTATTTTCTCCAATTCAAGCTAAATTCCAAAAAAGTTCTTTGTATTAATTTTTAATTAAAAAATTTCATTTAATTAACATTTTAAATAATTTAATTTAATTTGTCCAATTAAATCAAAATTAAAAAAATCTTCTTTGCTCTTTACATTTCTTTTACTTATAATATTTAGAAGAATTTAATTTAATTTACTTTAATTTAATTTGAAGGAAATAATAAAAGGTGAATTCTAATATTTTTCAAAATTCCCAATTGAAAAGTTTAGGAACGGGATGTCCGAGTAATTATAATCCAGCGGATTACTTTGTACAAAAGTTGGCAATTGTTCCTGGTCAAGAAGTCACGTGTCGTCAGTCGATAAATTCAATTTGCGACAGTTTTCAAAAAAGTGATTTAGGAACAAAAATTGCCCTTGAGGCGGAAACAGCTCACGGCGAATATGAAGATTTAATGGAATGGAAAATTGGCTCGTCGAAAATATCGTCACCATACAAAGCCACGTGGTGCGAGCAATTTCGTGCCGTTCTCTGGAGATCGTGGCTCTCCGTCATCAAGGAACCAATTCTCATCAAAGTTCGACTCCTTCAAACAGTGGTGAGTTGATTATCTGTAAAAGAAAAATTTCAAATTAGTTCAATTTCAAATTTTTACGTTCATTTTTTACTTTCAATTTTTTAATTTACGTTTCTAAGATATAAACTGCAAAAAAAATTAAATCAAGTAAATCTTTTTTCACTTCTGATACAAAACGAATTCATCACTCGGTTGTCAAATTAATTAAAAACTGAAGTCAGGATTCATTTCTATTCTGTATTTTATGCTTTCTATTTATTTCGATTGTTTTTTCACTCTATTTTAATTATTTTGTATATAATTCAAATATATAAATAAAAAAAATTTTAATAAACATAAATAAGTACGAAAAATTCCTAAAAATTTATAACTTTTTATATTTTTTGTTTAAGATGGTCTCGCTCTTGATTGGTGTAATTTTTTTTGGTCAACGTTTGGATCAAGATGGAGTGATGAATATTAATGGAGCGATTTTTATCTTCCTTACAAATATGACTTTTCAAAATGTATTTGCAGTCATTAGTGTAAGCATAGAAAAAGTATTAAAGGATTTAACAAAATTAATATTAAGAAAAGGCGAAATTAAATAAATAAAATAAATTGCTTTTTCTTTTTCTAATTTCTACAAATTTTTTAAAAATTTCGACTCATTTTTCAGGTATTTTGTGCAGAGTTACCGATATTTTTGCGAGAACATCGCAATGGAATGTACAGAACAGATATTTATTTTCTTTGCAAAACGTTAGCGGAGTGGCCAATTTTTATCGCAGTACCTTTAATTTTCACGTTCATCGCATATCCAATGATTCAACTTTATCCTGGAATTGATCATTTTTTTATTGCCGCCGGAATCGTGACCCTTGTGGCGAACGTTGCCACTTCTTTTGGTGAATATCCACAATTTTCATTTCAAATTTTATTAAAATTAACTTTCACTTCTTTTGGTAAATATCTACAATTTTCATTTCAAATTTTATTAAAATTAACTTTCAATATTGAATTCAAATTACTAGATATAATTAACTAAATAATTATTAAGTAACTAACTAAAAAATTATTAATAAACTAAAACGAAAAAACATGTCGATAAAAACGAAATTTAAATTAGAAATAATTTACAATCTACAAAAGTTAAAATAAAATTTCCTTAAAGTTCTGAATGTTCAAATTCGAACCAAATTTTTCCAGTTAAAATATTTTTTAGAAATTAAATTGAATTAGAAAATAATGTAAAAATAACAGTTAAGAATTAACTTTTTTAATATACAAAATAATTCTCTTTTAATAGAATACAAATTTAAAAAAGTAAAAAAGTCCTTCATTTGAACGTTCAAAAGTTTGGAAACAGAAATAATTTCTAACTATAATTTAAAATAATTTTCAAAAAGGGACAAAAGGGGGAAAAACAAAAAAAAGGAACATTACTTTTTAACTATGAAACACATTTCTAACAGGCTTTTTTTTGGGAAAAAATGCTGAAATAATAGAACTTGTTTTTCCTGTTTTCTTTTTTTTAAACACAGTGCAGATGATATGATGCGTAAAGTAGATGCTGAACTGCATTGGATATTAGTTTGCTACTGGATACTATACATTTATGAGAACCAGTAGCAAATTCTTCAGGAACGGATAGAAAAAAAAACAATTCCCATAAACGATAAACAAAAAAAGAAAGAAATACACAACCGCAGAGAATTTTTTCAGAAATAGAATTTTAAAAATCCATTTATTGCAAACTGGAAATTTTGCAAATAAAATTTTACCTTTTAAATTTTTACTATTGTAATTTTAATTACTGCATCTATTTACTATTTACACCCAGAAAAAATATATATTTGACTCAAAGCCTACTAAACTTTTTATTTGTCTCAAATAAATTTTATTTACTTCAATCATTTAAACCAAATAAACAAACTAAAGCAAATTGTAATTAAACCAAATTTTATGTTTGCTAAATAAAATTTGTTATTTATGACAAATAATTTGAGACGAATATACTTTTATTCAACTTAAATAAATTATATTTAGGGTTTAAATAAAATTTTTCTCTGCGTGTATATTAATTTATTTATTGTGAACTATAACTATTTATAGTAAATTATGTTCAAATATGTATTAAATTAAAATTCAGGTATTATTTTTATTATTTATTTATAATTATTATTATTTCGTTGGAAAATTCTGGAAAAATTCAAAATTATTATTATTTTTATAAATTAAAAATTAAATTACTGTTTCAGTTTTTACATTGAAGAAAAAATATTTAATTACTGCTTCGATCTTATTGATCAGTTTAGTTAAATTAAAAAATTAATTATCAATAAAAAAACAAATAAATTTCTTTTAGGAACGAATTTTTCAAATTTCTGAAAAAATGTCTGCTGGTATTCTTATAGATTTCGTTTATGAATGAAAATATGTGACCGTCCCTGATTAATTGCGTGTTCGCAACGAAGGAATTAATCCTTTTTGATATACGTGTAAATGATATTCGATTCGTTTTTCGATTGTACCCGAACATGATAGAATTACTGTATTCTCGAATTACCTTATTGCAGCTTCAATGGACCTGGTTGTGATATTCAATGGTTTATCGGCGACGACATATCTTATTCACGTTACTTTTCCATAAGTAGAATCATTATACAATCAAGAAATCATAAATATTTTCTTAATTTACGCATTTCATTAAATTCACCAAAATCCATCATAAAATCGAAATTTGCCATTAAGACTTCTGTTTTCTTGAATCTGAAAAATAAATTTAAATTAATACCATTATTATTTATTTATCATCAAGATTCCGCGGTCGAAATTGTTAGATAATAAAAGGATTAATTACTGTTGTTGTTATTATTAAATTAATATTATTAATTGCAAATAATATTGCTTGAATTACGTGTTTATAAAGTATATAATAAAGTAGAAAAAATACAAAATAAATAAAAAACATGGGTAAATACATATTTACAAAGTATAATAAATTAAATTAATTTATTTCAGGATATCTAATTTCCTGCGCAAGTACAAGTATTTCTATGGCACTGTCAATAGGACCACCGGTTATAATTCCATTTTTACTTTTTGGAGGTTTCTTTTTAAACACGGCGTAAGAAATTTACTATTAAATGTTATTATTGAAAAAAATATTTACAACTAAAAACATATTTACAATAAAAAATCGATTTAAATGTCAAAAAATATAGAAAAAGAAGTAAAAGAATAAGTGAATTAATTTATTTTTGAAATAGTTCTGTTCCAGAGTATTTTAAATGGTTTTCATATTTATCATGGTTTCGTTATGGTAATGAGGCTTTGCTAATTAATCAATGGAAAGACGTCGAGTCTATTGCCTGCACTCGGAGCAATGCAACATGTCCAAAGTCAGGACACATGATTCTCCAAACGTACAATTTTAAGGAAGTGAGTTTTTTTAAGTGACCATTAATCGAAAATTGATTGAATCCAATTATCCAATTATCTATTTAACAAAATTATAATTATAAACATGTCATCCTAAATAATTAATTATATAATTATCAATTTAATGTTAATTAGTAATTAATTAATTAATTAATGCCAAAAAATAAATTAATAATTAATTAGTTAATTAATAATTAATTCCACGTTTTTATTTTCAATTTTCAGGAGGAGTTCTTAATGGTGATCATCAATTTGATTGCACTTATTATTGTTTTTCGATTTATTGCCTTTTTGGCACTTCTTTCAAAAACTTATCGCTCAAATTAAAAATTTCTAGTTACAATAACTATTTATTTTAATTATAAACAATTTATATTTATTATAATTATAAATAATTATAAATATACTACAATTATTGAATGAATGTACATGTATGTAAGCAGTGTGCTTTTGTAAATTGTATTTTGAAATGACAAAAGAAAAATAATATATTTAGTAAATTAATTTTTGTTACTAAAAAAATATTGGTAATTTTATATTTTAATTACTCGAATTATTGTTCGATTGATAGATAATATATGTAAATTACAAAATGTATAAAATTTAAATATATATACAATAAAGCTTTAATTGTTATAAAATTCAAAATGGATTCAATTATTTTTAATAATTTAGTGTCTAGATATTAATTATTAATTTATTATTATAAATAATTTATTTATTATTAAATGAGTTTTATATTTTATATATTTTCTTATATTTGTGAACACCATTTTTATTTTAAATTACAAAATGTTAATTATATAATTAGGCCAATAATTAAATTTATAACAAAAATATTCTTTTTCCGAAAGGGAAATTTTTTGTTCTCGGTGTTTATTAATTTACTGACCAACCGTTAATTGTTAAGATTGTTAACTAATAAAGAATTATGTTTGAAACCCAGTAAAATTAAATAAATTAAAAAATGTGTATTTAACAAAAAATAATTTGGAACACTTTAGATTCTTCGGATCCTTCAGATTAATGAATATCAATAAAAAAAGGATAAAATAATTAAGATTTAAAATACCTGTAACATTAGAAGTATTTTCTTTCTCGACACATTCTCAATATTTACAACAAGATTCATTTTTTTCACCTTTGTTGATTGAAAAAACCGAAAAAACAATAGAAACCTCTCAATGCGGTTTCATTGTTATTTTGAGGTTAGGATCCGGCGTCTGAAAAATATTTCACTTCAATCTTGTTATTTTTGAGGTTTTTGAAGTAAAAATTAATGTTTTATCAAAATTGTCACTTCATTTATCAAATAGAGAGTTATTTTATTGAATAACATTCACAATTATTAATTAAAATGGTTAAAATGCAAAAACTTATCACTTTAGATTTTATGCACAATAAGCAATAAAATTGCAACTGAAAATTAAAGCCAAATTCATTTGTCATAACAGACTTTTTAAAAAATTTGAAAAAAATCCACCAATCAAAATAATGCTTGTAATGCAACAATGTCATGTGACCTTTATGTTTATGAAGTTAGCCGCATAGAAACATAAATATAAACAAATTAAAAATGACAGTTTTTGTGTTTTTAAAGATGTTTTTCTCGTTTTTTTACAAATCTGTTGTAATTTGGTAAAGAATAAAATATTTTCAAGCCGAGATAATACAAATCTTGAAAAAAATTGATCTACAATGAGATAATAGTGAAGAAAGAAGATAAAAGAGTTAAACAATTAAACAATTGTTATTATAACCTCAAAAATGGTACTTATTTTTTCTTTTTAAAAAAGAAAATATTGAATACATAATTAAATGAATTAAATGAAACTAGGATCATCAAGAAAAGATACTGCTTCCTATTTATACAGGAATTAGATTAGAGAATAGTATTATTTACTATGAAAAAAAACTAGAAACAATAAAGAATGTCTAAGCAAGTCGTCAAGTAAGTATACCTACAAGTAATTTTAATAATTATTAATCGTCTTTTGTCAACTATTTTCAAAACTTCTTTTTTGTTTTTTAAGTACAATAATAGTTTCTTGAACCTCCAAATTTTTTCTAAATCCAAATGATATTTAATTCGAAAATATCACTCGATATGTTTATATACTCAGTGAGTATAAAGTTCTACTTGCAAATTCTTATTTTTTTGGATTTAAGAATTAAAATAATATAGAAAGAGAGTAAATCTTGATAGATTTACTCAATATCTTTCTATAGACATAAAAAAGTACTCTTATAAAAGCAATTTTTTTTACCAATCTCCATTGACACAGTTTGAAAATAAATAATATTTTTTTTTTTACTTTTCTTTAGCTTTCATTATAGAGTTTCACAAAAGCCACGAAGTTTATGGCAAATGCAAACGTCAAATCGATGATCTATGTTATTATTCTGCAATTTTCCCCATTGGAGGATCAATATGGGATCAAAATCTGGATTAACCACAAGAGAATTGAAATAAAGAAAAAAATCGCTTCTCTCAATACTGACATGAGACTCCAGACGATTATGACATGTAATAGAAAACCGAAACCCTATATGTTCGACGTGGCTAATGTCTAGTACCACCGCTTTAAATCATCACAAGAAATACCTTTACTGATAAATAATAATAAACAATATTATAAATTTAGAAATCAAACTAATTCAAATTTTCCCAGTAAATTAATTTTTCTTTTTATTGAAGTAACTTTAATTTTTATTTTTAACTCTCTTAACAAAATTAGTCTTTGTAATTAATTAAGGTAATTTTTATTTGACTCTCTTAACAGAAAAAGTCTTTGTCTTTGCTAAATTAATTTTTAACTCTCTTGACAAAATTATTTTTTGTCTTTGTGAGGTTTTTTTGCCTTTTCTTTTACTAATTAATTTTGAGTCTGCCTTTGCTAAATTAATTTATTTTCTATTAATTTTTAACTCTCTTGACAAAATTATTCTTTGTTTTTGTGATCTTTTTCTGCCTTTTCTTCGACTAATTAATTACTTTCGAATTATTAATTATATTTAAAAGAAAAAAAAATCTTTTCGTTAAAAATTAAAGAAAGGGAAAAATTTAATTATTTTCCAAGCAGTCAATTTTTCAACGATCGTAATTTAATTTCATAGACAATATTAAAAGTCATAACTTTCAATGAAAAAATTGAGTTCAAAATTTCAAGCTATAAACAAATTAAAAACAAATTTCGTATTATAAAATTATTTTTAAACTCGCAAGGGAAAAAATATTGTCAAGTACATATCTACTCTACTGCACTGAATATCCTTTCCTGTTACCTGTTCTCTTTCACTCTCGTCTCTTATTCTCGCAGTGCTAAGGTTTCCAGACACCTGAACGCAGGCGGATGACAATCGTTTTGTCAAACCGGCGAAGAAATAATTTTTCATTTGATTTAATTTCAAAATTAAGCCAAGAAAAAAACGAAAAATAAATTTCTTAATGAAACATCGAATCGACAAATTCTTCAAAGATTTATTGTGATGTACCAAAAAACCGTGGGCGAATCTGGTGTACGAGGTGTGACTCTATCTTGGCAAAATCTCAGCGTTTTTGCGTTGGATTGTAATCGAACGATTTGCAAACGATTAATTAATAATGGTGAATATTTTGTGATTTTAAAAATTAAATTTATTTTTACGTGCGAATTAAAATAAATTAATTAAAATAAATATTAAAATAAAGAACTCATTGATTTCAGTGCGAGGTGCAATTAAATCTGGTGAGCTCACGGCAATTTTGGGTGGAAGGTAATTTTTCTTTTGTTTCCAATCATCATTATTATTTAAAAATTAAAAGATTAATAAAAAAAATTATGTTTTTAATTATTTTCAATTCAATTAAAAAATAATTAAATTAATTATATTTAAAATAATCAAAATTTTAAGAAAATGATCAATAAATTTTGAACGTTTAAATGAATGGAATATTTTTTATTAAAAATGTTTCCATAAATTTTGAACGTTCAAATGAACGGAATCTTTTTTCCAAAAATGTTTCCATCAATTACTGATTGGAATAAAAATTAAAAACTTAAATTTTACATTTAGAAACTTTTTAATTAATTTTTTTATATTTTACTAATTTTAATTTTTTTAACTACAAAATTATCATAATAAAAATTTAATTTGAAAAAGAGAAAATTATATTTCGTTCATTCGAACATTCAAAACTTTAGGATCATAAATATTTTTACAAATTTAAGATTTTTGTTGTTTCTATCTTTATATTTATTTTTATACTCGAGGAAATTAATTTTTGACAAATAAAATTTAAATAGAAATAAAATCGTTATTGTTGTTTAATATAAATATTAAAAACGTATTATATTATAACCATTTCTCTGAAATTTTGAACGCGCAAATAAACATTTTTTTAAATTAAATTTGGAAAATTACTACTGAAATGAAAAATAATATAAAAGACATTCACTCAGCTAAGAATTAATTATTTAATATAAAATAATTTTTAGCACAGTATGAAATAAAAGAAGTAATTAAAATATCTCCGTTCATTTGAATATTCAAAATTTTGAAGCATTTTAATTATTTTTTTATTTAATTTTTAATCATTAAGTTAATATTAAATTAAAATTAATGAATTTTTAATTATTAAATTAATATTAAATTAAAATAATAAATTTTCAATTATTAAATTAATATTAAATTAAAATTAAAATGAATTTTCAATTATTAAATTAATATTAAATTAAAATTAATTTTAAAAAATGATTTTTGTGTTTAAAAAAACAGTGGAGCGGGCAAAAGTTCCTTGATGACAGCATTAGCTTTTCGAACGCCTCGTAAGTAATAAAAACGAAGAAATAAACTCTTTATTTCAAAAATTAATTGAAATAAATAATAAATTATTTATTTTTCCTTAAATTTCAAATCACAGTTAATTAACTAATATATTTATTGTTAAATATAAAGCGGGAGTCATCGCCAATGGAGAAATAAGAGCAAGCGGAAGAAGCGTTGATTTAGCGTACATGAGACGTTACAGTGGTTTTATGCACCAAGAAGATATTTTTATCGGTTCAATGACAGTGTCCGAACATCTTTGGTTTATGGTATGAAAATTATTATTTACAAATTTAAATTAATCTTTCTGAAAAAAGAATTTTTTTAATTTAATTTAATTTTTTTTATTATAAGAAACTACTTAGGAATAGAATTTATTTCTCGATTATAATGATTATTTTTCGAATTTTCTCTTCACTATAGGCAAGAATGAAATTGGATAGAAAAATATCGTCTCGTGAAATTAATCAGCGAATAAAAGGTCTTTTACGTGAAGTAGGATTAATTTCGAGATGTAATATTCGAATTGGAAGTGGTGGCGATGACAAAGTTTTATCAGGTGGAGAACGAAAGAGACTTGCATTTGCAACCGAGGTACAATATTTAAAATTCAAAGAATTATATTTCTATTAATTCCGAAATTAATTTTCCCCGATATAGCTTTTGACGGATCCGAAAATTTTATTTCTGGACGAACCAACGACTGGTCTTGACGCACATTCAGCTAGTTTTCTTGTATCACAACTAACTTCAATTGCTGGACGAGGACGAACAGTCCTTTGCACAATTCATCAACCAAGTTCGGCAATTTTCGATTTATTTCAAAAAATTATTTTAATCGCCGATGGTAGGATTGCCTTTGCCGGTAGCACCGAACAGGCTATTGAATTTTTTTCCAGGTAATATATTTTTTTTCTTTATTTAATTCGTTCAATTTTAATCAAAAATCAGAATAATATTTATCTTATGATTTATAAATCATAAGATAAATATTCTTCTGATTTTTGATTAAAATTATAACAGCGTTTTTTTAATTAATTTTATAATTCGTTAATTTTTCAGTTTGGGCTACGAGTGTCCGGTTTCGTACAATCCGGCAGATTTTTTCGTGACAACTTTAGCAATTGCCCCGAAAGACGAGGACAGTAGTCACAGAACGGCACAAAAAATTTGCAATGCATTCCTCTCAAGCGATGCCTGTAAGGAGATTGACATCACTGTTCAACTTGAAATACACGTTGGGGGAACTTTTAACGTAAAGAAAAAAAATTCTATTCCATTCTATATTCAGTATTTTTCTTTCAAGTAACAATAAATTTTTGTCTGTTTGTTAATTTTAGCAAAGAGCAGAATCTGAGGAGATCGACAACTTGTGAGTTAATTTACACGATTTATTAAAATTTTCTTTTTCGAAAATTGTTGATAAAAATTAATTATTTGTATATTATTAATTTATTATTAATATATTATTTATTTACATAGTTTTAATATTCCAGTGCACAACCATATTGTTGGTCGAGAATGTTTTGGTTAACTCATCGAGGATTTATGCAAGTACTACGAGATCCGTCGATTCAGCTTCTTCGAATTTTACAAAAAGTGGTAAATTAACAGATAAATAAACAAAAATTAAAGTAAATTTTTTAAAATTTTTAATAGAATTTAATTTCTGTTTCAGTGTTTGGCAACATTGGCGGGTCTTTGCTTCGTGGGAGCAATTAAATTAGATCAATTGGGCATTCAAGCTGTTCAGGGTGTGATTTTTATTATGGTGGCTGAAAATACCTTTTTTCCGATGTACTCAACCCTAGCGTTAATTCCCCAAGAATTGCCACTTTTTCTCAGGGAATATCGAGCAGGAATGTATCCTGCTTATGTTTATTATATCGCACGAATGATATCACTCGTACGTCACAAAAAAAACTTTATTTACCAAATTTTAATCGCAATTAAAATTTTTAAATTACAAATTAAAATTGAATTCACTAGAAAATAATTATTCCATGTTCAGTTATTATTTATGGAATATTTATTTAATAGCAAATAATAAAAATCTTTGTAAAAAATTTAATTATTTTTATATTTAAATAATAAAATTAAGTTATTAATAGAATTTCGAAATTAGATTCCAGGATTAATTATTGAGCCGATATTATTTGTTGCGGTTGTTTACTGGTTAGCTGGCCTTCGACACACCATGGAAGCTTTTGGTCTGACACTTCTAGTTTTAATTTTCACTATGAATGTCTCAACTGCTTGTGGTATGTTTATTTCGCAACATCTATTTTTTATTTTCTAAATTATAATTTCAAAAAGAACAATTCTAAATTATAATTGAATAAAAAAAAATAATAATTTTCTTCCAGGATGTTTCTTTTCAGCCGCATTTGAAAATGTCCCATTAGCAATGGCCTATCTTGTCCCTTTCGATTATCTTTTGATGATCACAATGGGACCTTTCGCCAAACTTGAGTACTTTCACGCTTTTTAATTAATCACTATTGAATTAATAAATTCAATCATAATAATAATTAATCAATTTCGTTGTAATAATAATAATTAAAAAATTTAATTATAATAATAATTAATGAATTTAATTTCAGTTCACTGCCCATTTATGTTCAATGGGTAAAATATCTTTCATGGCTTTTGCATTCAACAGAAGCTCTCTCAATTGTTCAATGGACAAACGTTGGAAATATTTGTAAGTTCAAAATTCATTATTTAATTTACAACAATTTTTTCTTTACAAATAGAAAAATTTATAAATAAAAAATTGAAACAATAAAAAACTTTCTATACTTTAAATAATAAATAAATATTAACTACAAATTAATATTAATATTAATTAATATTAATATTAACTGTAAATATTAATTTGTAATTAATAAATATTAACTAGTTAATGAATCGGTATTTAAAATTAATTTCTTTTCTATTTAAAATTTAGCGTGTGAGGCAACAAATCCCGAGCTGCCATGTATCACGAGCGGATCGGCCGTACTTGAAAATTACGATTTCAATGAAAATAATTTCTGGCAGGATATCATTCTAATGGCAATAATTTACACAATTTTCCACATTCTTGGATATCTTTTTCTATGGAGGCGTTGTCGCAGCAAATAAAGTAAAAAAAAACCTGAACGAAAACTCCTCCAACCAAAGACAAAGAAATTATTTTTTAATATTAACTGTTCCATTTAATTGTATCGAATAAAATTTTTACAAAAAGAAAGTTACATATCTATTTTATTAATACCAGTATTAGTTCATTAATCAATTCTTTCAAATTATTATTGTGAAACAGAAATTAATCTTATGAACATAAAATCCAAACAAAACATAAATATATAAAAATAGTAATTTAGTTAATTAATTAAAATACATATAAATCTAATTAATTAATAATTAATAATTGAATAGAAAAAAATATTAATTTAATTGATTAATAAATAGAGATAAATATTAACTTAGTTAATTATGATTAATAATGAGATCATTAATAATTTAATTTTAGATTCATCGTTCAAATTTAGTTAAAATCGAAAATTTCTAAATCGAAACGCTAAAGAATTAAATATAAAATTACATTGAACGATAAAAAGAGAACTTAAAAATGAATAAACAATTTGCTTACTCAATTAGATGATTGACTGCAGGAGCAAAGTTCCTCTGAATATGGCATCGATAGGGGACTTTCGAACAATCGTCGCAGAAACATTTCCTCATCATTAGCATTGTCTTCTATTTCCTGAAAAATTGCGTCTTCCTTACGACGAATATTAGTCGACGCTTCAATTGAATCTTCCGAAGAAATAACATAAACTTCGCTTTTATTCGTTTCTTCTTGACAAATCTCATCGAATTCTATTGTATTCTCATCAATAATAGATTCGAATAGTGAAATTTTTTTATCCTCACTATCATCATCACTATTCAAAGAAATTTGATCTATAATCTCGATTTTTTTCCTAAAATCATCAGCTCCTTTACGGGCAAAATCAGAAGACGGATATTTTCCTTTATTTGACTTTGATTGTTGCGGTGAATTTTTCCCTGGAAAATTTTCTCCCTTATGCGTAAATTTAGAAGAAACGTATTTCCCTTCATTTGACTTTGAATGTTGAGATGAATTCTTTCCTGAAAAATTTTCTCCGTTATGCGCAAAATTAGAAGAAACGTATTGTCCATCATTTGACTTTACAAATTGCGATGAATTCTTAGCAGAAATTTCTGGATTTTTTAACGAAATTCTCGTAGCGAGAGAGAGAAGTTGACTTTTTATCGGTGTCATTATTAAACTTGGCGACAAATTTTCTGTATTAAACGAAGACAATGAATCGTTTTGCATTGAATCGTCGGGATTAATTTCCAAATTTTTCAAATTAATGTCATACTTTGGTTTTTTTGGTAATAAACCCTCGGATTCGATTTCATCGGTAATTGACGATTTTTCCGAGAAAGTGATACTTGGGCTTTGTGATAGGGATCTTTTGAAATATTCCATATCCTCCGGTTTCCATGCGGCGGATTGTGATTTAAAAATCGGTGGTTTCTTTATTCCTGGTTGTGATTTGGAAAATTGGAAAAGATTCAAACCGATTGAACGCTGTTGTTGAAATTCCCGATGAGGATAATTATCTTTTTGCGAAGCGCTTCTATATGGACTTTTTATTTCCTGGCTGGATGAATTTTTATTAAATATCTGGATAATCGGATTTTTAGCTTGAGATTTCTGGCTTGAAATTTTCTCCTCACTCGGAGTTTGTTGAAACTTTTTCCTCCATAGTGAAGAATTTGAGGAAATGTTCGATTTAGTTTCGAAAGAATTGTTTTGGAATTTTTTCTTCCATTGGGGAGGACTTGAGGAAATTTTCGATTCACTCCCGAAAGGACTGCTTTGAACTTTTCTTTTCCATTCTGAAGAACTTGGTTTACTCTCGAAAGGACTGTTTTTCATTTCATTTTGCGAATTTCGGAAATTAGTCGATTTTTCATTTTTCGAGAAATTGAAATTTTTTGAATCTTCGTCCTTTTTGTCAGCAATTTCCTGTCGTTTCATTTGAGGACTATAACTCGGCGATAAATAAGAATGAGAAGAAATACTGTCATCGGAGAAAAAATCAGTATTTTGAGATTGTTGGGAAATTCGCGAAGGACTGAAATCTTTGTGAACTTTCCCCGATTGGTAATTTTCTCCGTGAATAGAAATCGGGTCGGAAGTGAAAATCGAAAGACTCGGCGCTTGAGAATTTGATCTTCGGGAAATATTATCTTGACTGAATGATTCATTTCTGGCAAGTCTTTCGCTGATATTCTCGCTCTGACGGGAAGTTTTCGAAGGTGTAAAATTTAAAATACTCGCTTTCGAAGACACACTGTTCACAATAGATTGTTGCGTCTTTTCGAAAATACTACCGCGGGAGTTAATTTCAAAAGATAAATTATTTTCGTTTCCTAATTGTCTTTCGAGTAAACTTTGAGTCGGTGTCAATATTGAGAAACTTGTTTTTTGCGATTGCGATCCACAAGAAATTTCTTCATCAGAGAGTAAATTATTTTCGTGAAAATTGCTAGGATGAATTGAACTTCGAGGACTGAAGGTCGAAAAACTTGTCGCTGGAGATTTTCTTCTAATGACATCCTTCTTATCGTTATCCGAACGATAATTGTATTCGAAATTGTCCTGTCGATCGGTACTTGATCTCTTTTCCCGAGATGATGACGATGATCTCACAGAATTATTTTCTCTCTCATAATTTCTTGATTTGTCAAAATTTCCTCTTTTGTTTGGCGATCCGTAGACTTCCTCCTCCTCAGACTGTCGAGTTCTCTTTAAAGAATTACTCAAGGATTTGTCATCATTTTTCGGCGTATTCGAACTGGAGATGTTGATCGTTAGAGAATTTCCCGAAGTTTCCTCTTGATTAAAGTCGTCACTCGTTTTTGAACGTCTTGAATACGAGGATAAATTACTGGAACTTTTTTCCGTCAACAAATTTGACTGAGACTGAAATTCGAAAGAAATAAATTAGAATATTACAATTAGATATTTTTATATTACAAAAAGTTTTTTGAAAAAAGTAAAACATACCTGCAGTTTAAAATTTCTAATTCCCTTGACGGGAGATTTTTGAAAATCCTTTCTTTGCTTCGAAAAGCCAAAATCGTACAAAGTGCGACTTTTCTTATCGTCAAGAGATTTGTCGACTGTTTGGAATTGTTTGAATATTTCAAACTCAGCATCCGAATTTTGATCCAGGTTGCTCTGAATTGTTTTAATTGACTTCTTATTCCTAATTATCGGACTGTCGGGAACTTTGAAGGAAAAATCATTCTCGACTGATTTCGAGCCGGCAAAATTCATCTCAATTGTTGGAACTCTTCGTTCGTAATTTTTCGGAACATTTGACACTTGAACCTCTTGATGGAAATTAAATATTTCCCTGTCGGAAACAACAACACTATTCCAATTTTTACCATTTGAATTTTCAATATCAGTTTTCGAAACACTGGAGGCATTATTTTGAGAATTTACAGTGCTGCTTTGATTGTAATCGGGCACTTGTTTTTGGAAATTCTTCTGCAAAACATTGCATAAAAGTGCATTGTCCTTGGAAATTTTCAAATTCTTATTGCCGCGCAAAGGTTCAATGACTTTTTGTATATTCTCGTGAGTAAAGTCATTCGAGATGATTAAGTCCAAAAATTTGTCAATGCACTCGTAACAATCCTTTTCCCATGAGAGTTTCGGTGCTTTAACGAGTGGAGCGGGCTGAAAATTTTAAATAATTATTTAATAAAGGAACAAGATTAGTTACTTAATAATTTAAAAGACAAAAAATCAATTAGTTATAAAAAAAGTAAAGTACTTCCCAAATATAAAATTTGATTGTACCTTAAAGTGCGGAGCAATTTCGATGACAATTTTTTTAGCATTATCAACAATGGATTTCGGCAAACGAGAAGCAGATGCAGCAGAAATTCCATAATTTTCGACATTTGTAATTCCTTTTCTCAATTTGTAGGTGTAATTTAGTCCCCATCTGTCCAATTCGTTTGGTTCGCACACGAAGTAGTAACTAAAATTACAAAACGAATAAACAAAAATAGATGGAAATTAATTTACTTTTCAAATATTTGATTTTAAATAATTTTTAAATAATTATTATTTAAATAATATCAATAACCAAATACTTTTAGTTTTCTTTTTAAATTTTTATATTAACAATTAATGAAGAATAATTAATAGAAAATTAATTAAAAACACTTACTTAACAGCATTGTGATAAAGTTCTGTTAATTTCGTCAAGTAAAGATAGTGCGTGCAATTAAAAATGAAAGCGGTTGTTTGGAGAAGTGACTCGCAAATTGCAAAAGCTAGGGGCGCACCTTCCTCACTATTCGTGCTTCTACAAATCTCGTCCAGAACAATCAACGACGATGGAGTGATGAATTGTAAAATGTACTCGACTTCCCTTATCTTTTGAACAAATTAGACGATTTATTTTTTGAAAAAATAATTTATAATTGTATATTTTTTTTAATAGAAGAATATTATTATTTACTGAAAGCTATTGTGATAATTAATTATAACTATAATAGAAAGATTTTACGTTTAAAATTAAAATTAATAATAACATTCTTTGGAAGAATTCAATTATTTTTATAAATAGTAAAATTCTTTGCGAAAATTCAATTATTTTCAATACAATTTTAATAAAATTATACAAAAAAGGAATTAATTACTTTTTAAAAGAATTTTAATTACATTTTTCGAAAGAAAATTATTTTTATAAATATAGTAAAATTCTTTGTAGAAATTAAAACATTTTAAATACAATTTTAATGTTTTTATAATTTTCAATTAAAATTATTAAAGAACCTCCACTATATTTAAAAAAATTAAAAAGATTCTTCACAAGAATTCAATGATTTTCAATAAGTAAATTAATTTTAAAATTGAAAACATTTGAAAATTGTAATATTAATAATAAACTAATTATAATATTAATAATAAACTAATTAGAAATAAAAATTGTTCGAAAAATGTTTGAGATAAAAATTGTTTGAAGAATGATAGATATAAAAATTTTTAGGAGAATATTTGAATTTACCTCTTGAATGAAAGAAGATGCGTTGCTTTCAATGTCCTCGTATGTAGGGCACAGTCTGCAGAAAATTCTGTCTGCGATTCGTAAAGTGGCTTCCTTCGCTGGCAAATAGCAGCCAATCTAAAAAAGTATTCAACTTAAAACAAAAACTTAAAAAAAAAATAATAATTAATTTACGATAATTAATATTTATCTCCTACCTGAGCCATGATTTGCAAAAGTACAATTTGTTTCAGATAAGTTGTTTTTCCACTCATATTTGGTCCAGTTATGTTGCAAAAATTATAGGCAATCGAAGCTTCCTGTAGAGAATTCAATTTTTCTTCGTTTAATTTTAAATAAAATAAAATTTTCGAAATAAGAGAATAAATTTCTAATTTAAAATTTAAAAACAAATTAAAAATTATAAAAAAAATATTAAAAAAATATGTAAACAAATATTGATTGTAAAAAGAAATAAACTATTTTAACTCACGATATCATTCGGTCTCGGAAGTTGAGTAGCATGAAGATCCACAATAGGATGTTTCGAATCAATTATTAGCAACTTTTGTGCAAATTTTGGTTTCACAAAATCAGGAATTCCACTAATTCTCGCGAGCGACATAATTAAATCCAATTCTGCAATGTCCTCACTAAGTTTAAATAAGCAACCGACTTCTTGTCTCAAACTAGATATTAAAGCTTCGAGAATGCTGTTAAAAAGAATTATAAATTTATTTGTAATGGATTGTAAATTTTGTCTCGAAATAAATATAAATAAAAAATTTACCAGCTACTCATGATGTGTAAATCATTACGTGCCTCTTTACATTGTTGGCTTAATGACATTAATAAATACGTTGTCATGAAGAGAGTGCTCCGCTTTTTTTGAACCTAACATCAAATTGTAATCAATTAATTAAAAATTAATTAATTTTTAAGTTGAGTAATTAATTAATTATTTTAACCAATTTGTATGAATTCTTCAAAATAAATTATTTTAAAAAAATATTTTTAATTCTTCGCAGGAATTGAATTTATTTTCATATAAATAATAAAATTCTTTGCTAAAATTAAATTATTTTCAAAACACAATTTTTAATATTATTATTATTATTTATTGTCATTGTTAACAAACCTCTATAAAAACGCAGGGCAAATCCGAGACTTTAAAAATTGGATCCTTGGGTACTTGCATTTGAATGTGATAACCCAAGGAGGCGTTACAAGCGACTATTAATGGAAGATGATGTTCTTTTGCTAGTGATTCAACTAAAACTATTGACAAAAAATTTCATTACTTTTAGCGAATAAATCAATTTAATAATTTTTCGAAAAGTAATAAATTATTTTCTTACTTGACGTTTGTTCCATAAGTTCACAATACATTTGTCTCGCGACATCCAACATGTCGTTTATTCCACTTTTGAGAGCAAAACATCTTTGCATATTTGCCGAAGTGTAACCATTCACTGATTTTGCATCGCTTTGAACAATTTGCAAAATTTGCTGCTTCATATTCTCGAATCGTGGATCTTTTAAATTCTACAAAAAAATTTTTTGTAAATTATAAAATTCTTTTCAGGAATTCAATTATTTTCAATACAATCTTAATAAAATTCTTCTTCATAAAATTCAATTTCTTTCAAAGTTTTCAATTAAAATTATTAAAGAAACTTCAATATTTTAAAAAAGTTCAAAAAGAAATTCTTCAAAAGAATTTAATTAGGATTTTTAAAATTAAAAAAAAAAAATTATTGAGAATTGAATTATTTTTATAAATAAAAAAAAGTCTTCCAAGGAATTAATTTATTCTCTTCAAATGTTTTGATAAGATTCTTTGCAAGAATTGAATGATTTTCAATAAGTAAATTAATTTTAAAATTGAAAATGTTTTAAAAAATAATTTTCTTAAAAAGTTAGGAATATTATATTACTGGAATACAACGATTGTTAATATAGAAGATAGAAGAAGATTTTTGATAATTATTTGTCCAAAATTAATAGTTTAATACTAAAATATATTGAAAAATATTTTGGTAAAAGAAAATTTAAGTCAAAAAGTATGTTTTTTTCCAAACCTCTTGGATTTTGAGAAATTTTGCCGATGTTGCATTTTCCAGAGCGTCAGCAAGTTGAGGGATTATATCCAAACATGTTTTCAAAATTAAAATGTAATTCAATTTCTTCTCGGCAGATTCAACGGTATCTTTGAAATATGTTGTTCGCATTGAAAGACCCAGAAGTCGATCAGCACCAAAAAGTTGCTTCACAATTGGCTTAAATTAATAATTACTTTCATTACTAATAATTCCTATACAATTGAAAGTCCTGATCAGAAAACCGATAATCGGTTTTTTTTTACAATCGGACTGTAATTCTTTTTCAAGTTAAAATTCATTGACCAATAAATCAAAAATTAGTATCGAATCACAATTTTTTGAAGAACATTCTTGTAATTTGGGCATAAAAATATAAAATGCTTACAAGAAATTGAAATTCTAAATCCTTTTTTTATTTAAAGGCCAAGAATTTAAAAAAAATAATCGTTTCTTTGATTAGGGGCCTGATAAGGACTTAATTACTTTAATTAATAATTACTATAAGTATTTAAACGAGAATACTTACAGCAATTCGTTACTTGAGAAACGAATTTTTCAATTTTACTTCTTGAAACTAATCGATTAATAAATTTTATTGATTTCTACCTGAAGAGTTGTGTGAAGATTTCTATTGTTAACGAGTTCAGAGACACATGTTTGTCTCTCTAAAACTGCATCTCGATTGCAAAGTGGCTGCAAAAGTGATGAACGTAATAATCGTCTGCCCATTGGAGTCACACATCTATCGAGAGATGCAAAAAGATTGTGATGCTTATGAGGACCTTGACTTGAAACTAATTCGAGATTTATTGCACTCTCGATATCTAAAATTATTATTAGAAAAAATAAATTAGATTAGTTATAAAATTAGTGTTAAGTGTGCTTTGTACGAAAGGGCTTAGTCCCGTTTTTTTACTACTTAAAATAAAATAAATAAATAAATAAAAAATAAATATAAATAAATTTCCCTAAGAAGTCAAATAATTTAAAGAAATTATCATTTATTTTAAAATTAGCCAAAAAATATCAATAACTTAAAAAAGGAAAAATTTTTAAAGCAAAAAAAAATTCAATACCTATCAAAGTCGAACCATGTGCTGCTTGAAATTCGATTTTCATTGATTTTGGTTCGTAAACCATACGCTGAATTTGTTCTACGTATTTTAAAAGAGCCGCGGTTGTAGACAAAGCATAATATCTGTGAATTTTAAACAAAGAATTTTTTAATTTCAAAAATAATTGAAAAATAATTTTTAAAATAATTTCAAAAATAATTGAAAAATTATTTTTAAAATAATTTCAAAAATAATTGAAAAATAATTTTTAAAATAATTTCAAAATAATTCTTAAAATAATTAAAAAATAATTTTATATACAAAATTTACTTTTAAGCTCTTTTACTTTTATGTACTTTGCTTTTTTCAATCTTTAAAATATAGGGAATTTTTGTTTTTAAATTTGTCAAAAAGAATAGAAATATTTTTAAATAAATTTTAAAAATTTTAAATATTTGAAACTAACTTCTCTTTGACAAATAATTCAATACTGGAGAATTCGTTACTGCAATGGGTTTTTATGCGTTCTAATCCATTCTCCTCGTTAAAATGCACTCGTCCAACAGGTGAGATTTGAATGTCTTTAAATCTCAATTTAATGGCATTATATAATGCTTTTCGTGGATCCTCTTCTCCACAAATTGTATCCGGCATTATAATCTAAAATTTATTGAACACCGAAAATTAATGTAAAAATGCATTTATTGATTAAATTAGTAAATTTAACGCGCAAAACTTTGTATTCAATTAATTACTAATAAATGCAAGTTACAACATTTTCTACTTTTAAATATCAAATTCAATTTTTGAATAATTTTAAAGTCAAAATTTGAAAAATTCACTTATTCACTAAATAATTAATTAATATTAATTATTATTTTTAGAATTATTAATGGAATTCTTTGAAACAATTTAAATTATTTTCAAAAATTTTAATAACATTCCTCATAAGAATTCAAATGAAATTTAATTATTTTGAAACACTTTAAGGAAATATTTTTAGAAGATTTTAACTATTTTCAATATAATTTTAATTAAAAACAATTCAATTACTTCCAAAATTTTAATAAAGTTCTTCTAAGGAATTCAATTATTTTTAGCACAATTTGAATACAATTTCACTAATTAATTTAATTATTTTTATAAATAATTAAATTTTTCGCAGGAATTCAATTACTTTCGATACAATTTTCATAACATTTTTGTAAAGAATTCAATTATTTTTAACAATAATTGAAATAAAATTTTGCGAAGAATTCAATTATTTAAAAAAAATTTTAATAAAACTGTTTTTAACAATTCAATTATTTGGAAAACAATTTTAAGTACATAATTTGAAAAAATTCAAACATTTCCAAAAATTTTAATATTATTCTTCGCAAGAATTCATTGATTTTTACAAATTAATAAAAAATTTTATGGGAATTCAATTATTTAATAAAAAATGTAATAAATTTCGTTGCAAGAATTCAATTATTTTCGATAGAATTTTCATGAAATTTCTGTAAAGAAATTCAATTATTTTTATAAATAATAAAATTCATCGCTGAAATCAATTATTTTTAAAGTTTGTAATAAAATTCTTCGCAGAAATTTAATTATTTTGAAATATTTTTTGTGAAATTCTTTATAAGATTTCAATTATTTTTTAATACAATTTTAATTATAAACAATTCAATTATTTCGAAAATTTTCATAAAGTTCTTCTGAGGAATTAAATTATTTTTAATACAATTTAAATAAACTTTTTAGAATTAATTCAACTATTTTGAAAAGTAATAATATTTTTTATAAGAATTGAATTATTTTTAATTTAATAAATTTCTGTGAAGAAGGTTAATTATTTTAAAACTTTTTGATAAAATTCTTCATAAGATTTCAATTATTTTCAAAACAATTATTTTAATTAAACTCCTCGAAAAATTCAATTCTTTTTAAAATTCTAAGGAATTTAATTATTTTTAAAAATTCTAATAATATTTTTCAAACGAATTCAATTATTTTCAAAAGTTTTGATAAAATTGTTATAATGATTCTTTAAGAATTGTTACGAGAATTAATTATTTTCAATGTAACTAATAAAATTTCTCGAAAGAATTTAATGATTTTCAAAAATTTTAATAAAATTCTTAGAAACAATTCAATAAATTCCAAAATTTTAATAAAATTCTTTACAAGAATTAATTTATTTTCACAAAAGATAATAAATTTCTTCCCATATCAATTTAATTATTTTTAGTACAATTTCTATAAAATTTCTCGAAACAATTTAATTTATATTCAAGAATTTTCAATACATTTATTTTAAAATTCAGAACATTTAAATTACAATGATTTTAAAGTTTTGAATGTTTAAATTAACAACACCTATTTATTCTTCTTTAAATTAGATTTTTATTACAAGAATTTTAGCTTCTCTATCAACAAAAATTAATTTTAAACTTTCTAAAAGATAACTTGTAAGTTTTTAATGAAAAAAAAATTAATGAAAAACATTTCGTTCCTTTAAACGTTCAAAACTTGTGGATCATGAATTAAATAATAAAAAATTTAACGAAATTCTGTATTATAATAAATTAAAATTTAGAATTATAATAATTTAAAATTTTTATTTATAAAAATTAAAAGTTCTTGATTAGAATAATTAAAAATTTATAATTATAATAATTTAAAAATTTCCAATTATGATTATTCTAAATTTATTGTAAAAATTAATTTGTTTTGTACGAAAAAAGTAAAGTGTATCACTTACCTCGACAGGATTAAATAAATGAATTTTCGTCAATGTTTTCAAGTAAGTTTGAGTATCACTAATTTGACTGATAATTAAATGAGGGAATTTAACATCTATAGCGGCAATACCAACTTCGCATCTTGCATCTCCTCTTCCCGTTGTTATTGCTAAAAATTAATTGCACCCGTTACTTAATAAATATTAGTCCGACAATAAATATTCTCCAAAATACGTGTCAAATAATTTTATCTAAATCGAAATTAATCTAATTAACATTATTCCGAATCATCAAATTCACTCGCCAGAATAATTACTTCTTGGCAAAAAAATATTTAATACCAAAAATTAAATATTTAAGTCTAAATAAATATTATTAATTGAAAATTATTTCCGTAAGTGAAGTAAATAAATTTTAATGAAAAAAAATACCCATGACGACTGTAGAATCCAAGGCAGAAGATGCAGAGGTCGCTTGGGGATTTGTAGAACTACAATAAAAATAAATAAATAAATAGATAAATATACAGAAAAATTGTTAATAAAAAATAATGTTCGGAAACAAAAATTTCAATTTACGCAGAACTTCTGATTTTTGAGGACGAGGTTGGAATTCCAGGAATTGTTCGTGCTTTACTGACAGGAGTTCTAATCACACTTGAAGAGGCCTGAGTATTAAATAAACCTCGAGGAGTGTCCCGAGCATCGCTAACTGAAGATTCTACCAATAAAAAACGAAAATAAATAATGTAAAAAATTAAAAACGCAGTAGGCAAGTTTTTTAACCTTGAAAAATAACCTTAAAATCAAAAGAAACTTTTGCAAAGTTGTAAACATTGCAAAGCTTGCGCAAAGTATTAAAAAGTTAATTGACTCGAATAATTCTGAAAAAGTATCGGATAATATGAATCGAATACACATACTAAATTGTCTTTAACGGATAAAATAGTGAAAGAAAAGAAAAAAATAGTAAAGATGTTTTTTTACTAACGATATTTTGGTTGACCAAAAGTATTGTTAATCATTCTATCAGCAACCGGATTCCAGTAGAGACAATCTCTTCCTCTTCCTCTACCTCGACCTCTAGTAGGTCTAACTTTACTATTTTCCACTCGAATCACATTCATTTTGATAAATCACTTTAAATCATTGTTTCAAAAAACTAATTACACTACACTCCGCAATTTCCAACAACGAACAAGTTCTAACCGTTCTTTGTCCTTCTGCTCTTTTCCTCCAACCAAACGCCAAGTAACTAACTTCACACCACAGTGTTTACTCTACGACTACAGGGTGTACCAACCAGACGCAAATTCACCAACAGCGGTAATTTTAAATTCAAATTCAAAATAATTTCCTCCCTCTTCTTCTTCTTTTCCTCCTCTAATTATTAAAAAGAAATTCTAGAAGATTTTTATTTTATTTATTATTTTATGTATGTACAAATTCAATATTTTCTGTTCAACATCACCGAAACTTGAAAACAACAGACTTAAATAGATAATTATAAATAATACAATCACAATCACTATTATTTAGAAATAAATAGCATATTACTATCGTTCCCAAGAGGAGATTTTTTTTTCTTCTTTTAAACAGATTTTCTTTATCGTTTATACCTATTTACAAAGCAGATAATCGTGAACATGTCAAAAATTCGAAATTTACACATCACGTCATTTTTTTCACCCTCACAAAGGACGAGAGATGACTGATTGGGCAATGCAATCAATTTTTCTTTTACGTATGATATTAATAATATAATATTAATAATAATAAAAATAATAATTATAATTTTAATTATAATTATTAATTATAACTATTATAATAATATTTATAATAATAATAATAATTTTAATAATAATTACAATTATAATAGAAGTAATTATAATAGTAGTAATTATAATAATAGTAATTATAATAATAATTATAATTATAATAATAATAATAAGTAATAATAATAATAATAATAATTGTCTTGTGCATAATGCTAAGCAAATTTCGGTATTATAAGCTGCCCTATGAGATATGAAAAAAAAAATTACATCGAGCTTGCTAGCAATTAGCGATTCAGAAAATTTTCTTTTATTTATTGAAAAAAAGTGAAACTCTACTTTCTTAAATTCTATCAGCTCTTCGTCGATAAAACTCTGTCTTTTATACGTATATATTTTTTTTATAAACTTTTGCTTATTAAAATATGTTTAAATCGTTTAAATATAGCTTCAATCGATTTAATCGTGCCATTTTGTGATTATCGGTGCCAACAATGAAATTTAGCTTCTCGCTTTACAAAGCTATATATTTCTGTTAACTACAATTATATAAAAAACGTCTTTTCTTTTTTCTTTTTCTCTCTGGCACTTGAAATACAATTTTTTTTCCTACAAGATTTCAAGATCTTAAGTCTTTCTTTAATTTTCCATAAAATTGTTCATCTTCGATTTTTATTTCTTTTTCTTTCAAATAAAAAAAAAATTTTCTTTAATACTGGACATCGTAAAGATGTTAAAGAATAATATTTATCATATTGTAAACTTTCTTTTCTTATTTCTTTTTTTTCACTTAATATCTATTACATTTCTTCTTCTTCTTTCTTTTTTTTCAATTTTTCCAAACTTACATTAATTTTTCTTAAATTTTAAAACTCAAGTTTTGAGTTTAAATTGAAACTCAGTAAATTAATTTTTCCTGTCATTTATCAATAAACGACACAAAAAAATAATTTAAACAAGTGTTTCCATAAAAAAAATCAAGTGCCAGTTTTAAAAAATTGAAAAATAAAACAATTTATACACAATTAAAAAGATAATAATTATTAATACTCGAATAATAAATATTAATAATTAAGCGAATTAAACAATTAAAATAACACTAATAATTAAAATTAAGTCTCTTTAAAAGAATTTTTAAAAATTAAAAATACTATTTACAATTTATCATTTTTTTTTGTAATAAATCCAAGTATCAAGTAACATTAAATATAAACAAATTAAAATTTTATATAAATTCCTAAACTTACGTAAAAGTTAAACTTTTCTAAAAAAAAAAAAGAAAACAACAGACAATCGAAAAAGAAAAAAAGGAGAGAAAAGAAAGCAGAATGAGAAAAAAAAGAAAAACAAAACTGAAAGCAAAAAAAAAAACCAGAAAAATAGAAAGAGAGGAAAAAAAGTCGAAAACGGAAAAAATAAATAAAAATCTTAAAAGTAAATACATAATTTGCAAAATTCTCATAAAAAAATATATAAATTTTCCCAATCAATTATTAAAACAATAATTACAAAAAAAGAAAATAAATAAGAAAATATTCTTCAAAATCTTTCCATTTTTCCAGTAATTTTTTTCTCTATCGTTTGATGAACAATTTTAATAATAGAATCGCAGATGCTAGTCTCGAAATGAAAAATGATAATGATGATTATTATAATAGAGATAGTAGAGCGTAAATTGAATCTAAGCTTACTAACTAAGCGCGAATCACTCGCATTCATAAAATGATTATCATGGATAATAAAATATAAATTCAACCTTAGATATATATCACGTATCGAAATTTTTCTGAATGACAAATATCAATTATTATTATTGGGTCTTTTTTTTCCTATTATAATTTTACCCATCTTTTGTCAACTCATCTCTTTTCTTATCTTGTTTTTCTTTAATAATAAAAAGAAATTGTCGAGTTCAATTTTATTTTCCCTCATTTTTTTTTTTTTTTTTTACTTAAAAAGTGAAAAAAAACTCGACTCTTTGCCTTAATTGTCTAATCGTTCAATAATAATATATGAAGCATATGTACAAAAAAATTGCACGATCACAATTCACAATGATGTGTGTGTGTTTATGTAGATAATTGACAATGTGTAGATATTTGCAAGAAATTTCTTACATTTTTTCACTTTCATAATAATCGCTCTTTTCCTCAAACAAAAAGGGAATATAATATATAATAATATATATTTTCAAACTATATCGAAAAAACATCGAAAGCCAAACGATTTTTCTTTTCTTTTTTAAGAGCCTCATATTTCTTTTTATATAATAATAATAAATTAATTGAAATAAAATCTCGAAAAAATCTATTAAACAAAAGAATCGAATTTCTGCTGGAAATTTCTGACTAAATTTCTAACTTCTACATTTTTTTTACTTCAAAATCAGAGCAATAGTTTTTCAATTTAAAAAAAATTAAATTGATAAAATTGATAATAAAATTGATAAAATTGTTAACTAAATTGTTAATTAAACTGATAATTAATTATTATAATATTAATAATAGAAGTTATAATATTCTTCTAATTATAATTTTCTATTGCAAAGGAATTTTAATTTTCGAAAAAATTAACTTTCCTTGAAAAAAAAAATTTAATACTGTTGTTATTTATACGTTTGTGATAACGAAAAAAAAATTAAATACTTTGAAAAAGACAAACATCAATTATTCATTTTTTTGTCAATTTTCTTTTAAATGATTTTTAAATAAATTTTCTTTTATAAATAAAATTTTTCTCGTAATTCTTGATTATAAAAATAAAATTTCTTCATAAATAAAAAACACTTATTGGAATATTTAAGAAATATTAAAGAAACAAATTATTAAAAAAAATTATGATTGAGTTAAAATTATTAAGACAGTTTTAATTCTTTTTTATTCTGCTAAAAATAAAAATCGGGAAAATACGGAAAAGAATCGAGAGAGACATTTTACTGATTTCTTTTTTTCAAACAAAATGTAACTATATATTTAATATATAACAATATTATATAAACAAATAATTTCTAACAGAAAAAAAATAAAACATTATTATTTAATAATTAGGTATTGAAATAATATATTTCTATAAACTATAAAACAAATTATCATAGCATTATATTATAATATAATTTATAATATAATATATTATAATAATTATTATCTTTATCGTATTATTGCATATTTTTATTAAATACTACTTTTTTCTATTTTTCTCTATTTTTCCCTATTATTCTCCATTTTTCTCTATTATTTCTTTTAATTCGATTAAAGGGCAATACTTTTTTCTTAACATTATTTTAAATTTATTTTTAATAAAAAATTTCTTTTCTTTAAAGTCTAGAATACTTTTTAGTTTTGCCCAATTCGTTTAGAATGAATTTACAATTTGATTTTCTTACAATTTTTCCTAAAAAATGAAATTTTCAAAATAGGTAGTGAATTATTTTTAAAAATTACCAATTTCTAAAATTTGTATTAATATTTTCTATTTATGCTTCTTTTCTTAAGCAAATGTTCGTGAGAAGAAAATTTTCTATCATTAAATTAGTAAAAGAAAAAAAATTATTCTTAATAGTTGAATGTTTCAAGAAATACATTTTTTTTAATTTGGATTTTCAAGAAATAATTATTCTTAAAATAGCAAATTTTAAAAATCGTATAAATATATTCTGTTTCTGCCTCTTTTCTTAGACAAATTTTCTTCATGAAGAGAAAATTCTCTGTTATTGAATTGGCAAAAGAAAAGAAATATGAACTTTTTAAGAAATTTTTTCTTTTTCTAATTTAATAATAGAAAATTTTTTGTTCTCGTAAAATTCCAATTTCTTAAAATTGTATAAATATTTTCTGTTCATGTCTCTTTTCTTAAGCAAATTCTTCGTAAAAAGAAAATTCTCTATTATTAAATTTAGCGAAAGGAAGGAAATATTTCTTTAAAAAGTAACTTTTTAAGAAGAATTTTTCTTCCTTTTTGTAATTTAATGAAATTTTTCTTTTCTAGTAAAATTCCAATTTTTTTAAATTGTATAAATATTTTCTGTTTATGACTCTTTACTTAAACAAACTTTTCATGAAAAGAAAATTCTCTGTTAGTAAATTAGCAAAAAAGAAACAAAAAAAAAAAAACAAAAATTCTGCTTAAAATATGAAAATTTCAAAAATTTACTGAATTATTTTAAAAATATCGATTTTTAAGAATTGGATAAATATTTTCTATTTATGCCTCTTTTCTTAAGTAAACGTTAATCAAAAAATCTTTAAAATATGAACTTTTCACAAAACATAATAAATTATTCTTAAAATTCCAGTTTTTAAAAATTGTATAAATATTTTCTATTTAATTTTTTTAAGAAAACTCTTTATAATTAAAGAAAAATATCTGTCATTAAATTAGCAAAAGAATAGAAATTCTTCCTGATAAATGAACAATTCAAAAAATATCTTGAATTATTCTTAAAATATCAATTTTTAAAGATTCTGTAAATATTTTCCTTTTATGCATTTTTTCTTAAATAAACGAGAAAATTTTCTCCCAATAAATTATCAAAAGAATAAAAATTCTTCTTAAAAAAATGAACTTTTCGAAACAATGAATTATTCCTCAAATAAAAAATTTTTAAATTCTAGAAATATTTTTTTCATGTCTCTTTTTTTTAAGCAAATGTTCATAAAAATAAAGTTTCTATCACTTCATTGGACAAAAAATCTGTTTTAGAAGAATTCTTCTTGAAAAATTGTTTTCTTTTTTTCATTTAATAATAGAAAATTTGAATTTTTAAAGATTGTACAAATATTTTCTATTCATACCTCTTTTCCCAAGCAAAGAAAAATCTCTCTTATTAAATTATCCAAAAGAAAAAGAATTCTTAAAATTTTCGAAATAAACCTATATATTATATATAATTTATTTATTTCACATATATATTTAAATTATTTTAATATATTTCTTTTAAATAAAGAATAAATTTATATACTCTCTCTCTCTCGAAACTTTTTAATTCCCCCCCATTGATTTTTAAACAAAAAAATAAAAAAAATTTCTCACCTGAAAATTTTTTCCAATTTTCTGTCACTTGGTTAAAAAAAAATTAAAAAAAAACGTGCAGCAGATTGGTCCTTTCATTTTGGCTCGTTGGAATTTTTTGTTGTGTGTATGTTGCGCTAATCTGTTCTCTACTTTTTTTTTTCGTATATTAAACGTGACTTTCTAGGGGCACTTTGTAGACTTTCGATGTGAGACTCCCGTCGGGGAGCGACTGGGGACGGGTGTTGGTAACATTAAACACGACATTACTGGGTCCACGAAAGCTAACTTCAATAAGAAAACTGGTGTCAACGAGATTAAATCGATTGCTGCTGAGATCTGGTGAACTGGTGCGTAACTGACTTTTTTTCGTTGTCTTACTATCATTACGAATTATTTTCTCCGCTTCTGTTTGTAATTTATTATCAAGCCAGTGTACTTTATCAAAGTCCTTGGTCCCGCCAACTGTATGTCGCCGTTTAATGGAACGCTCGGGCATACCATTTTTTCTCTTTAATTTTGTTGCACTCTCCTTTCTCACCGATTGTCTTCGTTTACTAATATTTGATTCTGTTTTCTCAGTCTTTGTCAATGATTCAGAACGTTTTAATTTACTGTTGGGCGATAATGAACGATCGGAATTTTTATTAAGACTCTCGGATCTTTTTAATTTTCCATTATTCGGCGATGTGAGCGGTCGATCTGATGAATGTTTATTTAAACTTTCGGAACGCTTTAGCTTTGATGTCACTGTTTCTGTTCGTTTATTTAATGATTCAGAACGTTTTAATCGTGAACGTGGCTCTGTTGTTTGACTCATGCTTTCAAATTTTTTCAATTTTTTCGTATACGATGGATCGATGCAATCGTTTTTTGTTTGGGAATTCTCGTTTCTCGATGATTGATGTTCGTCTGGTGAGCATGATTGATTGTCCTGTGATTCGACTGTTGAATCGGCATCGCGCTTTTGTCGCATTGGCGATAATGATTGATTTACACTTGATGATAATGATTCGTCCTTTTCACTTGCGTCGAGAAATGTACTGCATGTCGCTTTATCTTCTGGGGATTTTTTCAACGATACATGACGATCGTTATCTGGTAAATCGGTCACACTCGAATCGGTTGTATCCACTATTCCCGAGTCTGAATCTTTCTCGGGAACATCCTGTCGACAAAAAATAATTTATTTTACAAATAAAAAAAAATAACACACTTTGCACTAAATAATTAATTTAAAAAAAGAAACAAAAAAGTAACTTTAAAACTGAAACGAAACTAGTAAAAAAGTAATTATTTAAAAATTAAATTTTACAACTAAAAGAACTCGTTTTACTCGATTCACAAAAATTATAAATAATCTTAATGTAAAAGTTTTTTTGAAATTTAACTATTATAATTATTATTATTGAAAAAATTTACACAAAAAGGTAAAAATTCTTACGGTCTTTGAATGAAGAGATCTGCCTTTATCATTAGTCGATCGATGTAAGCTGGGATCTCGATATTCCGATGAATGCCGAATTGGATTGCGTTCAATGGGTTTTTCTTCCTTGACTTGAGGGGAAACATTGGCGACACTCAGAGTTTCAACAGAAGACGGAGATTGATTTGCAGGATTCACCAGAGATTTCCATTTGCGATCGAAAGTTGATGTCAGGCTGGTCAAGAGATCGCTACCTGAAATCAAAAAATACTCATTATAATTCCATATACTTTTGATAGACGAAATCAAATCAACCTTCAAAGACAAAAACACTGAAAGCCTTTGATAAAAATCGGTTATTGAGCGCAAATAAACAAAAATTCCGAAAAAATGACGACGAATATTTAAATGTTTTTAAAATAAAAGAATAATAAAATTCAGTAGTTTTGAGTGCTTTGTGATGGCTAATTGCGTGAATTCATTCCTGAAATAATAAGAGCAATAATATTAGAATAAAGTTTTTGAACAGCAATTATCTTCTTGTTCACAACAGCGACAATAACAACAGCAACAACAGAATATAAAAATGATTCAGACTTCATAAAAAAGTGGCAATTTCTATTGACATTTTTTTATTTTTAATCCTCCCCTTTCCAATGTTTCAATAAATTGGAATTTAATAATTAGAAAAAAAAATTCGTTCCGGTAAATTTAAATGTAAATAAAATATAAACAAAATTATAAATTTAAATACTCAAAATTAATATTAATAATATTAATTAATAATTAATTAATATAATACAAAAAAGAAATATTAATTCCAACTAAAAAAAATTCCGTTTCAACTCAGACGAAACATTAGCAACCAAAAATTATCAGAAACAATTTTCACACGAAGAATAATTTTAATTTCGAAAGAGTTAAAATAGAAATTTAGTGTAAAAAAAAACTCTCGGAGCAGTAATTTTGTTATTGTATAATTTTAAGCAATAAGAGCGCATTGCGATTGTAAGAGAAGATTAATAATAAAAAAAGAAAAGAAAAATAGAAAATCAAAAAAGAAATTAAGTGCAAATTGCTGTGATGCAGAATTTACGAATAAAACTCTTGGAATTAAGAGATGAAGTCAAATTATAAATATTAGGAACCTGAAAAATTCAAAAACCCAACTAAATGTTTGCTTTTTAATCAATTCAGTATTGATGAGCAATTCTGGAAAATTCTGGAATCTACTAAATTATGTTTCAATTAAAAATTCGATTTGTATCTACGGAATAAAATTTTTATTTGAAACAAATAAAACTTATTTTGCGGAAAAACATTTTTTTGAAACAAATAAAATTTATTTATTCAAAACAACATTTGTATTTGGTTCAAATAAATATTTTTTCCGAATAAATAAATTTTAATCCACTTTAATTTTTTTGTAAAAATAAATTTTATTTTTTTAACCGAATAAAATTTATTTATGTGGAACAAAATTTTTTTTAATTAACTAAACAAAAATTTGATCCAAATAAAATTTATTGTGTGAAATAAAATTTTATTTGTGACGAATAACATTTTTTTTAACTAAATAAAATTTATTGTGCAAAATAAAATTATATTTGTGACGAATAATATTTTTTTTAAACCAAATAAAATTTATGTGGAATAAAATTTGTTTTTGAACCAAATAAAATTTATTTGTACCAGATACAATTTTTTTTTTGAATGAAGTAAAATTTATTTAATCGAAAAAAATTTTTTATTTGAACGAAATAAAAGTCATTTGGACCAAATTAAATTTATTTGAACCAAACAAAATTTCTCTGTGCGAAATAAAATTTTTATTCGAACCAAATAAAATGCAATTGAATCAAAATAAATTTATTTGAATCAAATCAAATTTCTTTGTGAGGATTAAAATCTTTATTTGAACCAAATAAAATTTATTTCTGCAAAGTAAGATTTTTAATTGACTCAAATAAAATTTTTTCGGTGCAAATAAAATTTATTCGACACAAATAAAATGTCTAGTAGCTTTCAAGTAAAATATAATCTTTTTTCTGACTGTAAATTATTCCAAATATTAAAATATCAAAAAATTCAATTCGTTCACTCCAATTTTCAGAAAAAAAAATCCCATTTTCCTCAAGAATCAAAACAATACCAAATTGAAACAGCAAAACTTTCAGAAGGTCAAAACTAAGCTTGTAGAGTCTTATTATCGGCAGCAGACAAGCACTTTTCAATAATATATTGTGTGCATGTAAAAAGAACAGAGAAAAATAAAAAAAAAACGGTATAAATTTGAAAAGCCATTCTCGAACGAGGCAAATCTTTTTTTTTTTTTGTTAGCATCACGGATCATCACTTGAGCGTGCCATCCGCGATTTACCTCTGAGAATTCGGTTTACAATCTTGGAGGATACCCCGACACCGTCTCCAGACTCTGGAATCCCTGGTTGGAGGAACTGTAACTGTGACGAAGGCCGCTGTGATTTGGATGACGGTGTTGACGAGGTGGTGGTTGTTGTTGTTGTTGTTGCTGCTGTGGTTGTTGTTGTTGTTGATTCTGCTGCTGGTGGGATGATTGGTAGGGAGATGGGACCGGTTGTTGTGAATGGATTTGGAGAGGTCGTTGGTGGTGTTGATTTTGGGAACGGTGTCTTCGTGAGGGTGCCACTGGCAGCGGCCCCTGCGGCACTGTGTAGATGGGCCGATATGTAGCACCAAAAACCCGGACTTGCTGCATGCCTACGCGTTTCAATCCCATCATCAATCGTACCATTGCCAAATTAACACCAAAATGTATATCATTTTTCTTTCTTTTTTTACTCATTTTTTATCCTTAGAACTTTATCACAAACGACAAAATTTGTAATATTAACTCTTCTTTTCCAATTCAATTAAATTTTTTCGAATTCGATAACTATTAAATTTATCAATTAATTAATTCTATTTTTACTTTCATAATATTTTGAAATATTAATTTCTAAAATTTTGCCTTTAAATATTACTTTCTAAATTAATTTTGTTTTTAAATATTACTTTCTGAATTAATTTCCTCTTAAAATATTAATTTTACATTTACAATATATTTTAAGATAAATTACTCAAATTTTCCAGGAGAAAATTCCAGAAACTAATTTACAAAGAAGAGAAATTCCTTTTTTCAACTGATTTTTCATTATGAATTATGAAAAGTGAAATTAAAAAATACTTTTAACTAATGTTAACAAAATTAATTTTCGATTTACTCTCTTTTTAAAATATTAATTTTACATTTTACACTACATTTTATAAAACACTACCCTTATTTTCAATTTAAAAGGAAAAATTCCAAAAACTATTTAAAATAGAAGAGAATTTCCTTTCTTTATCTTATTTGCATTATGGAAATTTTAATTACAAAAAAAAAACTTTGATATTTACTTGATTAAAAATAAAGTTACTTATTAAAAAAATTTTTTTCAATCCAATTTACAAAAATTGTCAACTTAAAAAATCTAATTTTGTCGAATCATAAAGTTCAAGAATTTAATCCAAGAATACACAACAAAAAAAACAAGAAAGATGCTTGTTCTTTAAAATGATTAGAGCGCAGGCACAAAATTGATGAGACTACATGTTTTTTTAGAGTACCACGTAAATTTATAGAATTAAAAAATATCAGATATTTTCTTGAAATAATATTTATCATGAAAATCCATAAATGAAACGATGAAAAAAGAATTAAAAAAATAATAAAAAATAATGGAAAAAATAATAAAAAAAATGATAGAAAAAATTATAAAATCGTGGAAAAAATAAAAAAAGGGATGAAAAAGATAAAAAAAAAAAAAAATAATGGAAAAATAAAAAAAAATGATAAAAAATATTAAAAAAAAATTGATAGAGAAAAGTTCAAAAACACTGTTGGAAAAATTAAAAAAAAGATGGAAAAAATAATAGAAAACTGATAGAAAAAAATATTTAAAAAATGATAAAATAAAAATGCTGAAAATTAAAATACGTGGAGCTCTACAATTTTCGAAAAACATTAGCCAGGCAAGCAGTGAAGCCACAAAAATAAAAAAAAATAATAATCCTGAATACTCTTCTAAATTAACGAAGTATTATTTCACTTTAGTGAAAAATTCCGAAACTATTCCTGTTTTTTTTATCTTCAAAAAAAAAAAATTTTTCTATAAACTATATTTCAAAAATACAAAAAGCGATAAGATTTTCAAATACAATAAAAATAAATTGCATAAAAAGAAAAAATTAATTATTAATATAACAAAAAACTTAATTGTCTTAATAATAATTAATTTTAATTAACTATAACTAATCAGTGAATTAATAAAAAATTTAGAGAATAATTAATTTTAATCAACTAACTAATCAGTGAATTAATGAAAAATTTAGAGAATAATTAATTTTAATCAACTAACTAATCAGTGAATTAATAAAAAATTTAGAGAATAATTAATTTTAATCAACTAACTAATCAGTGAATTAATAAAAAATTTAGAGAATAATTAATTTTAATCAACTAACTAATCTGTGAATTAATAAAAAATCTTAAGAATAATTAATTTTAATCAACTAACTAATCAGTGAATTAATAAAAAATTTTAATCAACTAACTAATTAGTAGTAAAAATCTTAATAATAATTTTAATTAATTTACTAATCAGTGAACTAAAAGAATTGATTTAATAATTAGATTTAATTATCTAATTAGTAAATTAATAATATAAAAAATCGTAATAATTAATTTGAATTAAGTAACTAATCAGTGAACTAAAAAAATTGAAAAAATTTCCCCTTTCGTCAGAGATTGTAAACATTCAAACGCAATTGACATGCATTTTTCGTTCTTCTTATTCTTTTCTTTTTAGTGATAAATTCAAATTTTTCAAGCGTCCAGTGCTTTATGAAAAAATAATTCTTGTTATTAACATTCCTGGCCTAAATAAGCAGAGGCGTCAAAAAGACGACACACATAATGCTTGAGAAAAAGATTTGTAAATTTCCTATTTTCTCTGCGTGATTGAAAAATACTTTTTTTTATATTTTTAAAGCACATCAGCCCTTGGCGATTAATATAATAAAAAGAAAAACTGAAAAAACTTTTCTTTCAAAACGAGAATATAAAATGTATAGTAGCGGAAAATGATTTCTCGAATTTGCAACAAGATGATAAAAATTTTTCCAAATGCTTATTTTAAGAAATTGTTCTGATAAAAATGTGATGATGAGAAAACACAAGTACCTAGAAAGCTTTTTGTTAATAGTGAGAATCTTCTGAGTCCAGTGAAGAAAACAAGATCCGGCTACACTCACCGATCGTCAGAAGCAAATTACAGAGAGAGAAAAAATGCACAGAGAGAACAAAATTAACATGGGGGTTAAAAAAAATGACTTCTTTCGTTTTTTTCCGCGTCAGTGTTTCATTATTATATGTAATTTTTTTATTTATAGACCAAAAGATACTTTTTGATCTATAGATAAAATTTTTGACTTCACAAATCAGGACTCTTTTTCAAAATTTTTCCCGACAGTTGAAAATGTCTTTTTATTTCGATGGTTGAAAATGTCAAAGCATTTTAAAAAACAGGGACAAAATAACACAAAAAAACACGAGGAGGAAGAAAATCGCTTTTTTTAAACTCTGAAGGAGAAAAAGCGTTTTGGATTAAATGGAAATTATTTAATATTAAAAGTGATACTGACCATCATCAGAAATATCTCCAGGAAGTCCTCGATGTTGTTGCGAGGGGGACGATGACGAATAACCATGAATCTCGTGCAGAGAGTCTAAACTTCCATAACGAGTCGGTGCCAATAAATTAGAATCCGGTGATTGCTGAAAAATTTCATGATTTTTATTTTTAAATTTCTGAATTTTAAAGTTAATTAAATTCAAATTTAATGTATTAAAGAATCAAAAATAACAAAAATCCTAATTTTTGTAACTTCTATAATTTCGTTTAATTTGCCTTAATTTTCAAATCTGAAATAATTTAATTTTTGCATACAGAATATTTTTAAAATCTTTAAAAATAATATAATTGTATCCAGAAGTTTTTATTAAAATAATGTGACAAATTTTATTTAAATTATAGAAGATAATTGAATTATTTAGAAGAATTTTATTCAGATTTTTTAAAAAAATTGAATTCTTTGATAGAAATTTTATTAAAATTATATTGAAAATAAGTAAATTCTCCGAAGAATTTTATATACCTATTATGAAGATAATTTAATTTTGTGCGACGAATTTTATTAAAAACTTTTGAAAATAATAACATTCTAACAAAAAGTTGATTTAAAATTCTATTGAAAATAATTGAGCTTTTCTAAAACATTTTATCAAAATTAGGTTTTAATTCTATTAATTCTATTTAGAAGTTTTTTTTAGTTTATTTGAAATTAAATTCCCCGAAGATTATTATACCTTATGAAAATAATTCAATTTTATACGATGATTTTTATTAAAATTTTCGAAAATAATAAAAATGCTTTTAAGAAATTTAATTAAAATTGAACTGAAAATAATTGAATATTTCTAAACAATTTTATCAACATTTTTAAAAATAATAGTTACATTTTTTCAAGAAATGTTAATTAAAATGTAAGGAAAATAATTAAATGCATATAATACAATTTTATCAAAATTATCTCATTGAATCTTATTAAAAAAATGTTAAATCATTGAATTCCTCAGAAGAATTTTATTATTTATTAAAATAATTGATTTCTTTTGAAAAATTTTATAAAAATTTGTAAAAAAAAATGAATTTATTTTCAAAAATTTTAATAAAATTTCCCAAAAGAATTCAATTATTTTTCAAAATTTCATAAAATTCTTCTTGAAAATTCAATTGTTTTAAAATGAGAATGAGAATTGAATTATTTTTATAATTAATAAAATTCTTCTCAGAAATTTAATTATTTTAAAGAATTTTAATAAAATTCTTCGCAAAAATTTTATTATTTTGAAAAATTTTATAAAATTTATTCTTCTCCAAAATTCAATTATTTTGAAATCAATATGAGAATTGAATTATTTTCATAATTAATAAAATTCTTCTCATGAATTTAAAAGTTAAAAAGTTTATTATTTTGAAAAATTTCAATAAAATTTTTTATAATAATTTAATTATTTTTAATACAATTTTTATTTGAAAAAAATTGTAATAAAATTTCTCGAATGAATTCAATTACATATTTACAAAATTTTGGCAAAGAAATTTATGAAAATATTTGAAAATAATTGATTTTTTTCGACAGATTTTATAAAAATTAATAAAAAATAATTAAATTCGTTTGAGGATTTTCATTTAAATTGTATTTGAAATAATTAAATTCCTGTGTAGAATTATATTATTTTTGTAAATAATTAAATTCTTGAGAAGAATTTTTGTAAATTTTGAATTTAAAATTATTGAAAAACTGAAGTTGATATTTAAAAACCAAAAATTTTGTAATTGTCATAATAATAATTAGTTGAATTTAGTAATATTTGGTATTAAAAATATAAGTTAAATACAATTAAACTTACCTCTTTATCCGTTTTAAATTTTTTGATGACGCCGTTATTCATTTTCTCGCCTAGAATATTACTGAGTTGTGAGCTGGCTTGTGCTTTTTGTTTCGCTGTCGATTGTTGCTGTTGTTGTTGCTGTACAGCAATCGATAAAGGAATTGGCCTCGTACTTGACTTCGATCTCACATGACAATCAGTCAAATCAATTGACGATCGATCAACAATTCTATCATTTAAATTCGACAATCGTTCCGAGAGAAAATTCGGCGCAACCGTTGTATCGACTATTGTATCCAAAATATCATCGTTTTCCATTTCTGATTTTGCAATTTGCCATTCCTTTTCAATTCTCTTTCGTTCCTCCTCGTGACGTTCGGCAACACGTCTCTGTCGATGTTGATCCCTCTGTAGCATTGTCATTGTTTCCTGTTCAAATTTTCTAATTCTCTCTTGTGTCGTTGCACTTAAACCCGTGTAAGTACGAATAGCGACCTCGTCATTATTGTGTTTCGTGTCATTTGAATTATTCGAAGGTGTCGTCGTATTTGTGTCCAGTGTTCCGCTCGCTTCGTTTGTTTTTAATATTTCAGAAGATTGAGGAATGATAATTTGTTGTTCTTGTTCTGTGGGATTTTTTGAATATTTCCCTCGCGAATTATTTGTATTTGGAGGACTATTACTGCTTCCGCTTCCGTTTCCCGTGGAGGTGGTGGTGGTGGTGGTTGTTTGCTCCGAGGAACGACCCGGTTGATTTTTACTCTCGTGCATTTGAACTATTTCACTGACGGTGCATTGTCGATCATTGAGAGCCATACTCTGCCGAACGGTCGGTGAATTCTCATCCTGTTTTCCTTTTAGCTGAAAACAAAAAATTCTGATTGCTTTCTCCGAATAATAAATTATCACAAAATTAATATAATATAATATAAATATAATTACAAAATAAATATTACAAAATAAAAATTTAAGAATTTAAAATTCCAAAAGAAATTTATTGAAATTACCTTATCGTCTTCGTGGTCATCATTCTCCGGCTCCTCGTGTCCCTTCCTCCTCCTCTGAATTTTCCTATTAGCTGCGGATATGATTGAGGATACAATGTCCCTAGCTGTGATCATTTCACGCATGCCTGTTGTGTCAAAATAAAGAAGCGAACAAAAATAAATGTGCAACTAATGGATGTTAAAACTCAGAATTACTCTTCTTAGTTGTTTCATTTTCTGAAAACTTGAAAGTTTTACAAAAAAAGTTGGATAATAAGAGAGCAATGCGAGAATTAAAAAAAATAATAAAAAGATGGTAACGAGATGAGTGGACACTAAAATGTGAATTTGCTAGAAAAAAAATTACACTTATATATTTGGAAAAGAGAAAGGGAGAAAAACAACAAACTGGTCATTTTCAGTTTTTTTTTTTGTAACCAGATAATTCACAAGCAAACTTTTTTTTTCATTTTTGGTTGTTTGCATTTCTAACTACGAATGTTTGATGATATTTGAGAATAACACAAGAGTAAAATAATGAACATTACACGAAAGCTTCGAAAAAGGAGAAAAAAATTTAATTATGTAATTAGCCACACAATAAAGTGCCACAAACAATTTTTTGAATATTGACAAAAAAAAACTCGTTACGTCTTTAAGTACGAGTAATAATAGTGATGTAAAATAAAAAATACCTTCAACTTTCTGAATGTTGTTTAACAAGAGACTATGATTTGCTAGTTCACTTTCATTGTCATCCGTTGGTATACTCAAGTTTACTGAGAGCCTGCTTAAATCGTCTAAATCTTCTTCTGAGAAGAACCAATCGACCTGTAGAATCGTAATTAGAATTTAAATTCAAAATAAAAAAAAATTCAAGTATCTTATTATAAAATTGAAATGAAATGTCACAAAAATCTAATTTTTTCAAATATTAATTTCAATTAATTAGATAATAATTTCAATCCAAAGAAACCTTCAAATCTTATTATTATTAATTTCAGATTAAAAATTAAAAAATTCAATTATTCACTAATTTCCTTCTCATTATTATTTCAAAATTTTTTCAAAACTTTAACAAAACTCTTCGAAGAAATTCAATTCTTTTCAATACAATTTCAATAAAATTTCTCAAAAGAATGCAATTATTTTTAAAAATTATATTTTCATTTAATTATTTTGTAATGAGAATTGAATTATTTTCAAAATTAATAAAATTCTTCTCAGAAATTTAATAATTTTAAAGAATTTTAATTATTTTGAAAAATTTCAATAAAATTTTTTTAAAAAAAATTTAATAAAATTTCTCTAATGAAATCAATTATTTAAAAAAATTCTTGCAAAGAAATTTAAGAAAAAAGTTGGAAAATAATTAAGTTCCATCGAAAAATATTATTGTTTATTAAAATAATTGAATTCTTGAGAAGAATTTTATTAAATTTTTTTTAAATAATTGAATTCTTGAGAAGAATTTTATTAAATTTTTTTTAAATAATTGAATTCTTGAGAAGAATTTTATTAAATTTTTTTTAAATAATTGAATTCTTTTGAATATTATTAAAATTTTTAGAAAATAATAAAATTCATCTAAGAATTTTATTACAATTGTTATTAAATAATTTAATTCATTCAAGGAATTCTATTAAAATATTTAAAATAATTGCATTTTTTCGAAGAAAAAGGTTATGACAATAATTGAAATCATTCAAAAAATTTCATTAATTCTTTTAATATAATCGATTTTGTTAATAATTATAATTAATAATTTTAATATGAAATTTTATTCAAATCGTCGATAGAAAATTAAATTCTTTTAAACAATTTTTTGTCCGTCCAAACTTTAAATAAATAAATAAATTTTATTAGAGTTTATGTAAATAATTAAATCTTTTTGGAGAATTTCTTAAGTTTTTCGAAATTTAATGCAATTTTTCTCATAATTGTACTTGAAAATTTTGAATATAAGTGAATTAAACAAAGAATTTTTTTTCAACTGTTTAAAATAATTTTGTCTGTTAATAATTATAAATAAAAATTAGATTATTGAATTTAATTAAAATTGTATTGAAAATAATCGAATTTCTGAGAAGAATTTTATTATTTAAAAAATTAATTTTATTCTTTGAGACGAATTTGATTATAACTATAAAAATAATTGAATTGTTTCGAAGAATTTATTAGGGTTTTAGAAAGTAATTGAATTCTTTCGAAAAATTGTATTAAAAATTAAAATAAATAATTGAATTCCTGCAAAGAATTTTAAAATTTATAAAAATAATTGAATTCCTCCGAAAAATGTTATGTTTTTATGAAAATAATTACATTTTTGCGAAGAGTTTTATTAAAATTTTTGAAAGTAATAAGAAACAATAATTAATATCATGTACTTAATAAGAGAATTTTCAAAATTATGAATTTGAAATTATTCAGTAATTGTGGTTTATATTTGAAAATAAAAAATTTTGTCATTTGCATAATAATAAATTGAATACCTTGTTTGGCTACCGTAACATTTGGTATTTAATTATAATCGATAACTTTAAGAAACTTATTCTAAAATTTAATATTCAAATTGTTAAAAATAAATTTAATTATCCACAGAAAAACAGTAGTAAATTATTTAAAGAAACATTAATACTCACATTATTTAGCAAGCTTTCGACGATTGTACATTGATGTTTCATCTCAGTAACCATGGTTACCATATTATCCCTCGAGCCGCTAGGTCTTACCAAAGTTGGTCCAAAGACGATGGACAAATTCTTCGCCTCCATTTTATTAGCTTCACTGTGATTAACGACTTTCTTCAAATGATACATGAGATATTTCAGTGTTTCAAAATGATGTTCGGGTAAATCTCGCAGTAATTTACGAATTGTCGCCATTCTTCGTTGTGGATCGCTTATTTTATCAGCGTCAATAAACATCGGATAGAGTTCAGCCGTTAAGAGAGAGTCTGGAAGTAGTCGGAAGAATGACTTGAGCAGAGATGATATCACATTGACGTCGGTCCATCTTGAATCCTGAGAATAAAAAGAAAATGTCATTTAATTTGTTTCTTACTCTGAAAATCTAAACAATTAAATTAAATGCAATTATAAATATATTTTTCATATTTTAAACAAAGATATAAAATTGTCAAACAAATTTTCAAAATATAATTACCTGAAGATTTATATTTTCAATTCCCTTGTTCACACTTTCTGTTAATTGAGAAATTGCCGCCGTATTTCCTGGCACTCGGTAAATTCCAATGACTTCAAGACCCCGAGCCTCGACTATGCTTGTACAAATTTCGACGATCAAAGGCACGAACTCCGAGAATGAGGACTGAAATTTAAGTAATAAAAGAACAAATAAATAAAAATTAAAAAACCATAAATTATTTATTATTATCAAATAAATTATTTATTTTTTACTTTCTTGAATTTTGATAGAAAGAATATAAAAATTCTACCTGCGGACAAAGTTCCAAGGGTACTTTAAAAGTCGCTCCTTCGGGAGGAAGTTGAGCAGTCGGCGATGATGGTGAGCCAGCTTGTCCGTGCATTTTTCTAAATTGCTTCGCCATTCTTCCCTTCCAAGTTTTCGATTTCGGCGATGGTAAATTTTCAATAGCCTGACTTGGTTTACGAGTTTTGCTGACTGGCGATTGTCCCGTGGGTGAACGATTTCGAAAGGACGTCAATTTTCTGATTCCTTTATGACTTGGCAACGGACTCAAACGTTGTTGTCCACCACTTTGATTTGTATTTGAATTTGGTCCCGGTGTTTGAGGTGAGGCTGGCTGTTTCACTGTATTCGCACTTGTATCCTAATTGAATAAATTCATTTCATTATTTTCTATTTCTTATTCAAAAATAGTTTCTAAAGTTCTAATTGAAATTTTTCTTTTCTTTACATATTAAAATTAAAAAATCCCTACCGAATGATAAATTTCTTTCAATTTAATTATTAATAAGTAAAGTAAATGAATTGAAAATAATTTGATAATTTGAATTTGAATTTAAATTTTAATAAATAACAATAAAATTAATAAATAATAATTTCGTGTAAAAAAGAATAACTTACTGTATGTTTCTCGGTAGCGAAAATTTTAAACGCTCTCAACCAAAGAGCCATAGAAGCAGCATCCTCGGTTTGCAAGAGCACTTCTGCTGTGGAATTCGTTATTCGTAGCACATGTTTTCGTTTCGTGTAATCGTCCGCGATATCTACTAAGGCACATCGCGTATCTACACTCGGTACTGTATCGCCTTCGCCATTTGTTGATGGGCTCTGAAAATTACAATTTTTAACTCTCAATTCACAACCTCGACTGAGGGAATTCTCTTTAATTATTTTTCAATAATTTTTTAGAAAAAAAAGAAAAATACACAAAAAATTCAAATAAAAAAAAATATTTTTTTATTTAAAAAAAAGGACTCACTTGACTGTGTCGATCCTTGTAAAAATAAAGAATATGACCGCGAAGAACGCCCCAAACTTGCTTCCAGGAACGATCGGTAGATCGCTAGAAATGAAAATTTATAATTATTTTCCTACTTTTTTTTTCGTAATCGTTTTTTTATTCTAAATCAATTTTCTCTACCATCAATTTTTTTCTCTTAAAAAATAGAGATAGTAATAGAAATATTTATTACAATTTTGTAATTATATTTTCTTTAGTATCAATTTTTTTTCTCTCGTAAAAAATAGAGATAGTGATAGAAATATTATTTATTGAAAATTGTAATTATTTTCTTAAGCAGCAATTTTTTTTGTCTCTCGCAAAGAATAAAGATGATAATAGTTAAATATTAATAGTAATGAAAAATAATCTTACTTTGCCATCGAGCACAGTGAATTTAACGTGAAGAGATCCTTCTCGTTCGATAGGTTCTGCGTCTCTGGGTGTCCCACTGCCGCTATTGGAGCCAATCGAGCCCAGGATGCTATTCCTACAAAAGAAAATTCGCAATCCTCATTAACTCTCCTCATTAAAACTCAAAACCACTTTTGGAATCTCGCACATGTTCTGAATGCATTTTACTTCAATTAGATCCCAACACTCTCAGTACGTAAATTCGCAACACCTTCAATTTCATTGCATCGAAATAATCAAATTAAAAACAATTAGTATAAAAAATATTAATTAAAAAGTAAACAAAAAATAATAATAATAATAATAATAATAATAAGAAAAAGGAGAAAAAAATAAGAAGAAGAAGAAGAAGAATAAAATAATAATAACGGAAAAAACTCAAAAAATATTTTCCAAATAATACGAATCGTAACGAAATCTTGATTAAAAATCAGAGAAAATACGATTTGTTTTCAGAAAGAAAAAAAAATTGCCATCTCATATCAGGCAAGTTAGTAGTGAATTTAAATGATTCACAGAGAACACTAACACAAGCGAGGCATCCGGGCTTTTTTTTTCAAGCGTGTTAGTGCATTTGCTTTACATTCTATTGACGACACATTATAACTAACATTAACGATCGGTAATAATTCGTTATTGCATTTAATTTACAGCACGAAATTATAAAGAGCAGGTCTGACTTTAAATATTTTTTTAAAGAGCGCAAACTGAAAAGCAATTTATTCAGACTAAAGACTTTAATTTTACTGCCATTAATACCTTCCAATTTCTGTTAATTAGAAAATTAATTATGAACCTTAATCTATTAATTAATCATTAATTAATCATTAATGAATCATAATCAATATTACACAATTCTATTTTCAAAATTAAATATTCTCTTTTCAAAAAATTACAAATTTTATTCACGGAACTCTGTAAACATCACCATTTTTATTTTCCTCTCTCTCTCTCTCTCTCTCTCTCTCTCTCTCTCTCTCTCTCTCTCTGTTTCTCACTTGTAAATAAAATGTCATTGTACTTGTATAAGTGCGTCACTAAATTTGCCGCAATCACACAATCGATATTATAATTAATTTTTTTTATTTGTGTGAGTGTGTAAGATTTTTTTTTTTATTGCGCAGCAAAATATTGTCACGAGTTAATACATTTGATTTGATATTTATTATTCAAAACCATACGGGACCAAAAAGTTATGCGTATACAAGACTCGAAACGTTAATTTGAATGCGAATATCGCGCTACTCTACGTACACAACGCAAAAGAGAAAAAAAAGGAATACAACACCTAAGGACATTACTTCGAAAGTACAATTCAATTTTGCATATTTACTTGAAAATTAATTACAATATTTAATTTTTATTCTAATTTCATTTATGAACTTTTAATCTCTATTTACATCAACATAACTTAAAATAGACTTTAATTTAAATCTTTTTTTTTATTTCGCGAAGAATTTGAATTTTTTACATGGAAATTCAAAAATTCAACGAACTTTAATTTGAAAAATTCAAAAACTTGAAAACTTGAAAACTGGGTAGTTTTTTTTAATGTTAGAACAAAATTTTTGAAAAATGAATTCTAATTTCGAAGGTAATTTTTTGCTATCGTATGAATAATCAAGACCTGATGAATGTTAATTATTAGTATAAAAATTGAAATTTTTCCCTACAAGCATTAGGTATCGTAAATTTTCTTATTCCGAAAAATTCTTTTGAAGAAATTGAAGTTTTTGACGAAGAAAGAAATAGAAAAAAAATAAAAGAAAAATAATTTGAAATACCGATAATCGAAAATATCTTTCGTAACGAAGTAAAAAAACTCCAGATTCGAAATTTAATTTCTTTGGCAACGTCAAAAGGATAAATTAATAAATTTATTAAATATTAAATAATAAATATTAGTTAATACTGATTTTAAAATTAAAAATAAATTTTGCCACTCGGAAGAAAATTCCCAATTCTATTTGCGTAAATTTTCTATTAATCCAAATATTAAACTTCTTTTTTTGTTCGACTTTTCCTTTAAACAAATTTTTTATTTAACACACAAAAAATATTTAACCGAACTGACATTTAACAAAATAAGTTAAAATTAATAATTTCGACAAATCATAAAAAAATTCTCCAAGCAGACAACTATTTATTTTAATTTATTAATAAATTTACTTAATAATTTTAATAAATTTTATCAAATGAAAATTTATTCGGAGAAAAAGAAATTCGGTCAAATAAAAATTAAATCAAAAGCAAAGTCAATCAAACAGCAGAAGGTTTTAGTAGCAATTCGGTTAAATCAATAAATTATTAAATTTCAATAAATTTCAAAAATTAATTCAATCAATTTCAACAAATTTTTTCTAAATATAAAAATTCTTTAAAAAAAATTCACTCAAAAGCAAAATTCAACTAAATGAGAATGCGGTGACATGCAAATGTAAAATTCCAGCAAATAGCATTTGGGAAATTTTCAAATACTCCCCGAAAAGAAATTGTTACCAAACTCATTGAAAATTAATTTAAAAGTTCTAAAAAAAAGAACCGATTTTTGTAAAATTTCCCCCAGTCTCGAAAATTTCCAGGAAAAATTCCAATTTGTCATTATTTTTTTCTTTCTTTTTTTTTTTTATTTTATTTTGTTTAGAGAACTATAGCGATGATTGATTTTTGTTTTAGACATTGAGCGACGATGACGACTACGGATGCAGCTTTTTTTTTCTATTAAAGAACCTTTTCTCGTCTCACCGATGCCTTTGCGATGGCAAATAAACGCCCTGTGTCATTTCCTCGAAGAGGCGTCGAAGTGGCGCAATATCGCTCGGAAATAAAGGTGGTCGCCATCGCTTATGAGAACTGGAATCATGGACATTGCCAAATTTCCTAAAGTAAAGATAGCGCAAAAAGAAGAGAAAACAAAGAAAAAAAAAGGAAAACCACTTACTCGCAGAATAGTCTGCTGAAATTTCCACAAATGCCATTTCTTTTTAAATATCTGTATAATTGAGAAATAAAGGAAAAAAGAAAAAAAAACAGGAAACAGATAAAAGAAAAGGAAAAAGTAGTTGAAAGTAATTTACCTTCTCATTGATTGAACTGGTTCAGTATCGCTGAGTTCTAAGTCGCTGTCAATATGCATTCGCTCGCCCCAAGTAGCTTTCAAGTAGGAGACTCGTCTTGTTGTCCTATCTTCGTCACCTGATAATTGAAAAAAAAATTTATCATTACTGTAAAAATATTTTTTTACAAAATACAATTTGTAAAAAATAAACAAAATTAAAATTGCAGCAATTTATCCATGATTATATTTTAAACCAATTTTTAAAAGTTATATTATGAAATTCTTTCAAATATAAAACTTATTTCAATGAAATTTGACAAATCATTTTAATTCTTTCGTTTTTTAAACTTATTTTCAATAATTCAATTATCTTAAAAAAATAACATTTTTTGAAAAATTTAATGTTTTTAGAATTTCTACATTAAATTATTCAAAAATTCAATAACTATTATTGAATAAATATTTAAAAACTTATTGTTATTTATCTTTATTTAAATTTCAAATAATTTCAAATTACAGTCCATGGAAATTTAATTCTCTTTAAAAATTACAACCGCAATTTTCTAAAAGTCAATTATTTTTTAGAATTTTTGAATCAAATTATTCACAAATTTTATAATTTTTAAAGGAAAATAATATATATTAATAATTTTTTTACATAAACTTTTACATACTTTTAAATACTTTTTAATATGTATTTTTACGGCGATTAAAATTTTAAAAAGGTTTCAATTTGAAAACCTTTTAAAATGTAACTATTTCTTAAAATTCCGGTTATAAAGCTTCTAATCTTCAATTATTTTTCAAAATTTTATTCTTTTTTAAATCAATTTTTATTAGAATTCAATGATAATTGAATTATTTAAATACAACATTTTTTGTAAAAGTCAATTATTTTCCAAATTTTTAGTTAAAATTCTTCAAAAAATACAATAATTTTTAAAAATAATTTTTTAAAGTGAGAAAATAAAATTCTTTGAAATAGAAAATTTATTTTAATGAATTTTGGGAAAATTTCCTATTTTTACAATGTTTTAAAATTATTTTAAATATTTTATTTTTTTAAAAAACCTACCTTTTTTAGAATTTCAAAATTAAAATTTTTAAACTTCATTATAATTTTTGTTTAAGAAATATTTGAATACTTATTTTTATTTATTTGTCCACTAGGAATTAAAATTTCAAAATCTAATTTCAATGTAAAACCTTTTAAAATTTAATTATTTCTAAAAATTAGAACTGCAATTCTTCAAACATTTTCTAAAATTTTAACTAAAATTCTTTTTAAATCAATTGTTATCGAAAAGTTGTATGAGAATTCAATTATTTAAATACAAAATTTATAAATGAGAAAATAATTGATTATTTCTAAAAATTGCAATTTGAACTTTACTTATGGATTTTTAAAAATTAAAATTTTTCTAAATTAATGAAATAAATTTATTACTCACTGATCTGAGCATTCTTCTGTCGTCTAACAACCCCATTACTATCGCCATCTTCATTTGAACCTGTAAAAAATATAATTTAATTAAATTATCCCACTTCTAGTGTCAAAAGCATAATAAAAAAGAAATAAAACACAAAAAAGATTACATTAAAATTCGATGGTTAATTTCTGCATTCTTGGCTATGAAAAATTTATTATTCATGAAAAGAGTAGAATAAATAAAGCTGAATTTTTAAATTTTAAATTTAAATTTAAATTTAATTTAAAATTTTTAAATTTAAATTTAAATTTTTAAATAATATATAAATAATTCAATTGCTTAAAAAATATTTTCATTTTTTTAATGTCGATAATAAAGTTCTGAACGTTCAAATGAACGAAATTTATTTACTTCTTCTAATTAAAATTTTATTGCAATAATATTGCGTCATGTAGGTAGGTACTTATTACAAAAATAATAATTTATAAAGATTCATAATTAATTTCTTTCTTTTATTTTTTTTATTTCAATTTTTCTATTCAATCAAAAATTTCAGCTTCATTTGAATTAAGAGAAGAAACTTCAGATTAATGACAATTTGAATGATATGAATCAATCCAATTTTTTAGAAATTCGATCACTATTTTGCATAATATGTTTAATTATATGTAGAAAAGAAAAAAAAATGGAGAAACATTTGCAAGAAACTGGAAAGCCAACATAAAATCACAAACTGAGAAAAAAAAGGAAACATTTATAAAGTACAAAATTAACACGAAGTTAATTAAACACATTAATAAAAGAAAACTGGTTAGTATATAAATTGGGTTACTTTCATTAAAAACTTTGTGGATATTTATAATCTCGTAATATGCAGAAAAAAAGTTAGCTCTTTCAGTCACATCAAGGGTAAAATCTTGCCAAAAGAAAAGGAAAACAAAAAAATAAACAAAAAAAAAGATGAAATATTCCCTGACCTAAATTTTTCATGACCTCGAAATTATCCAAATCGGGCTGCGTGGATTGATTCTGATTGTAGTGACCATTGAAATATTCGTCAGAATTTTCAAGAGGGCGGAGAGGATTAAGAATTGTCAATTTATTTGGTCTCACTGGCGTGGGTGGACTTATTGTAACCATTGGGGTCGTTCGTGGACAATCGAAATCGGGAATTACGTCTGGAATTGCTAATGAAGGAAAGGGAAATTTCGTCCTATCTGATTCTGAAGACTTCATCTTATAAGCTGCACTCTCTCGATGATCTAATTACCATGTAGAAATTAAAGAAAATAATAATTTAAACTTCAAAGAAACTGAAAAGTTAAAACTAAAAAAAAATTGCGGAAAGAAAAATAAATTGAAAAGCTATTAAAAAACAGAGTCAAAATAATTTTTTTCTTTAAGGAATATTTTGATTCACTCGCAAAATAATTAGATCCCCAAGTAATGTTCCATTACATTTATTTACAAATTTCTTCAAAAGTTATTCGAAAACATCAGTAACTTATTTTTTAAATAAATATTGAATTATTATTTTTTCATAGAAATTAAGATTTTCAAAAATTGGAAATTCAATTATATAAAAATATTTTTAAAAAACATGAAGATATCGATCACTCCGAGTCTTCGACTCGGAATGATCGCTTTCTTCATGTTTCATAATAATTAAAAAGAATTTAATAATACTTTTTCAAGAATTTCATTAAAATTTTTGTAAAAATAATTAGATTTCTGAGAAGAATTTTAGTACTTTTGAAAATAATTAAATTTCTGCAATAGTTATTTTTTTTAAATAATTAAATTCTTTTGTGAAATTTTATTAAAGTAGTAAATATTAAAAATCATAGAATTGAGAAAAGTTTTTAAAAATAATTGATATTTTTCCAAGAATTACATTAAAATTTTTGAAAATAATTAGATTTCTGAGAAGAATTTTACTACTTTTGAAAATACAAATTGAATTTCTGCAACAATTATTTTTTTAAATAATTGAACTCTTGTGAAATTTTATTAAAGTAGTAAATATTAAAAATCATAGAATTGATGAAAGTTTTTGAAAATAATTAACATTTTTCCAAGTATTTCATTAAAATTTTTGAAAATAATTGAATTTCTGAGAACAATTTTACTACTTTTGAAAATAATTGAATTTCTGCAATCATTTGTAATAAAATTCAATTTCTTTTAGTGTTTTTAACTAAAATTCTTCTGTAAAACCATTATTTTTAATTATCAATTAAATATATATTAAAAAATTTAACTAATTTTAGAAGAATTTGAATTATTAATGTTTTTCAAAAATCTAAGTTCTTAAGATTTCTAATTAAATTCATTGAAAATTGAAATTTTACAAAATTTCAAATTAAAATTGAAGTTCTTTTATACTCTTATGAAAATTGTAAACGCAGCTCTTTTAAAATTCAATTAATTGCGAAATATTTAAGTAAAATTTAAATAAAATTTAAATAATAAGCACAATAACTTTGGAGAACAACAATTTTCCGGGATTTCGATCAAAATTCCCTAATTTTTCCACGTTTTTTCAAAGTTTATAAAATTCCCTGACATTTGACTCAAAAATAAAAATACTGAAACGTTATTAAAATAAATAATTCGCTTGACCGGAAACCGGAAAAATCAATATTGAAATGACCAGAAAAAAAATAAAACTAAACAAAACTAACCGTTCTGGGATCTGATTGCTTTCAAATAGCTGTCTTGTCTTTTAGCTTTGTTGTAATTCTCTTCTAAATTCTCTTCCGACTCTGTCTGCCAAGTATGTCTGGCATTCCTTCCGGAAGGATCAGTCACGGCTCCCCATGAATCGGCACTGTTGCTTCGAGCTCTTAATCGTACTGGTTCCATTTCCGTGGGTGGTTCTGTCGACGAAGGGAAGAATTGATTATTTTTTTCTCTCATTCACAAAAAAAAAGAAAAGAAAAACATCATTGTCGATTTTATCATCAGGCAATATTCACTGCTTCCTTTTTTATAATTTTTACAATAATGCAACAGGCATTTGCGATTTACGTTTTACGCCAAAAAAATGAATTTTATCAAAAATTCATAATTTCCAAAAAAAATATACAATCTATCCAGCTGTGTCAAACTTTACGTTTTTAACATGCATTGGATTTTGTTCAAAAAATAATTTCACACACAATTTTCTTCCTTCGACAAAAGCTTTTTTTGTACAGCGAATCACTAGGACACTTAAGAAACAAAAAAAATACACCAATCTCGAATGAAGAGAGAAACTCAAATAAAGAGCAGAGAGAGAAATGAGAGAATTTTGTTAATTTTCGAAAATGAAAATATAATCAGTTAGATTGAAAGGAAAAGAAAAATCGAAGGAACCATGCAAAAAGAGAAAGCAAAAAAGTCTTTTTAGGTCTTTTAGGAAGACAGTTTTTGAAGAATAGTTTCTGTATTTTTTTCTCAGCGGTAGTCAAAGAGAGCTAGAGAGATAAAGAGAAAGAGTCGCGTTCAAGAAAAACAAGGAGAATTAGGATTGAAAAAAAGGTTCAATATTTATCTAGAAATTTGCCATCAACTTGAGAAGATTCCCTTCTACCTTTATGATTCCTATACCCAGTTGGAGGTTCACAATGGATGTACTTGCTGCCAATGGGTATGATTCTGTTTCCGGATAATCCACTACCTAGATGATAATTATTTTTTAAATCCAATTGTTGAAAATCAATCAAATTTCCAAAAAATCTCGTTTATTAATTAGATTTGAGAAAAAAAAATTAGTTGCCTCGATGATAATAGAAGAGGAAATAAAAATTGTGAAAATGATGCCAAATTTTTTTTTCTATTCATTCTAAAATAGTTTCCAAAACAAACTTTAGCCGATTAAACTTCAGGAATTTCAATTTAAAAATTTTAATTCAATTTAACTTAATTTATTTTTTAAAATTTAATTTTAGAGTTGCCACAAAAATTCGATTTTATTTTTCAGCCTAATTTCCAAACTGAATTTTGATTTTCTTTCTGAGAATTTTTATTTTTTCCCTAAAGAACACTAATTCATTCTAAAAATTACTAGATAACAGAAAAAAAATTTTCTAATACAAATTTTTTTTAAATATTTTCAATTACAAAAATAATCTGAAATAATAATTTTTTAAAGCATCTATTTAACATTTATTATTATTCATCCCACAAGAATTCACATTTTCGAAAATTTGAAATTTAAAACCTTCCGAAATTCAATTATTTATAAAAATTGGAAACGCAATTCGTTCAAAAATCAATTATTTCTAAAAATCGTTAACGAAAATCTTCCAAAATTCAATTATTTATTGAATGTTTAATAAAGAAAATTTTTATTTATATTTTTGTTTCCTAATTATTTTGGTAATTTTACAATTTACATGTTTTGGATTTTTAGATTAATTAAACTTTAAATATATTGTTTTGAAAATTAAATAATAACAACAAGTTGTGAACTACAAAGCTTTCTCCACAAGGAAACAAAAAGTATTTCAATTAAATTGTTTTCAGTTAAAAAAGTCAATTTTTAACAAAATTTAAAACATAACATTAATGATTTTTTGTTTTTTAAATAATTGAATTCCTTACAGAATTTTTATTAAATTTCAATTGAAAATAATGGATTTTTTGTAAAGAGTTTTATCAAAAATTTTGAAATAATTGAATTTTAGCGAAGAATTTTATTAATATTTTTAAAAATAATAGAATTTCTCTTTAAGAAATTTTATTAAAATTGTATTAAAAATCATTTACCTCCTGATGGGTAGAAGTTTATTAATTATGAAAATAAGTAAATTCTTGATAAAAATTTTGAAAAATTTTTAAAATTATAGAGTTTTAGCTAAGAATTTTATAAATTTGAAAACAATTGAATAATTAAATAATAATTCTGACTAAGAAATTTAATATAAGTTTAGAATTTTTTACTGGAATTTAATAAAAATTTTACAAAAAATAATTGAAGTCTGAAAGAATTTTATTTCTTTAAAATCAAAAATTTAAAAAGATGAAAATTTGCATTAAAAATTCAATTATAAAATTTGGTTACAATTTTTTTATAAGAATTTAATAATTTTCAATACAATTTCAATTAAATATCTCAAAAGAATTAAAATTTTTTAGAAAAAATTATATTATTTACAAAAATTTTAATAAATTTCTTGATAAGAATTCAATTATTCTAATTAATTATAAAATTCTTCAAAATAATTCAATTAGGGTAAGTGTGCCAATTATGGCGCGGTTCTGGTTTAGCCGTCTTTGAAATAGAAAATTCAAAAATTATAATAAAAGAAGTAAATTTATGGCTTATTAAACTAAAAGCCCGTGTCATATAGATAATAAAACTTTTATAAAATCTTATAAAAATTAATTATTTAAACAAAATTAAAGCAATAAGAATTAGGATTAAAAACGTCAATTATGGCGCGGTTGAGTCAATTTCGGCGCGCCAATTACGGCGGGGAAAATAACGTGTATTTAGAGGTTGTGTTGCGCGCCATAACTGGAGCACGCACATTCAATGAAAATGTGCCAATTATGGCGGGGCACAATTTTTGTACTTAAATAATTAAACCAATAATAGTTCAAATGTGTTTTTTTTCGTTCAATTATATCGAGTAAGGTCGAAAATAACTTTTTCTATCATTTTCAAATAACTATATTATTCTAAAATAGTAAATAATTCTATTTTTTACAAAGTCGCCATAATTGGAGCACCCGCCACAATTGACACACTTACCCTATTCTAAAATAATTTTAACAAAATTTCCTTAAAAAATAAAATTATTTCCAAAAATTTTGATTTTTTTAAATAATTAAATTCCTTCCAGAAATTTTATTAAAATTGTATTCAAAATAATTTACTTCCTGGAAAGAAGATTATTAATTACGAAAATAATTGAATTCTTGATAAGAATTTTTAAAAAAATTTTCAAATTTATAGAATTTTAGCGAAGAATTTTATTAATTTGAAAACAATTGAAGAATTGAATAATAATTCTGACCAATTCTGACTAAGAAATTTAATAAAAGTTTCGAATTCTTTACAGGAATTTAATTAAAATTTTACTGAAAATAATTGAATTCTCTTGAAGAATTTTATTAATTATAAAAATAATTAAATTTTTTCGAGGAATTTAATTAAAATTATACTAAAAATAATAGTTGAATCCTCATAAAGAATTTTATAAAAATTTTTGATTATAATTGAATTTTCAACGAAGAGTGTAAATAACAATTTTTTTAAATAATCTAAATTTTTAGACGAATTTTATTAAAATTTTATTGAAAATAATTGAATTGTTTTGAAGAATTTGAGTGAAATGTTTGAAAATAATAAATAATTACAATTAATTAGATACTAAATTAGTTAATAATTGAATTTTCTTTTTAGTTTGAGTCTAATATTATAACCTACGACAACTTTGTATTTTAATCGCAGCAAAAATGTCTTTTATTCGAAATGCATAGAAAAATATTTTTTCTCTAAAATAAAAATAATACATAAAAAATAAATCGTTGTAAACTCGACCAAAGTTAATAAAATAATTTAATTGGTCAAAAAATAAAATATACCTGAATGGAAATAAATATGAAATGAATAAATAGAAATAAGTAGAAAATAAATAGAAAAAAAGTAGAAAATAAATAGAAATAAGTAGAAAATAAATAGAAATAAATAGAAATAAATATAACTAAGTAGAAGATAAATAGAAAAAAGTAGGAAATAAATAGAAATAAGTTTGAGAAAGATATAAAAAAATGTGACATCATTTTCCATGACAATAAAAAAAATCATTACCTCCATCAAGCGATTTACTCTCCCGACCGGTGGCCAATCTTCTAGTCTCCTGCGTCTCTGCCTTCGATTCAAATTCACGTTTTCTAACGGCAACATTCGGCACACTTCTTTTATTTGACAATCGTGACAATTCACTTTTATAAAGATTCGTCCGATCGCTCGTTGGCTCATCATCGTCGCTCATTAATTTTCCCAATTCAAATTGTTTCGCACGCCTCGAAACAATCTGCAAGCCCTGCGGTGGAATGGTAAATTTATCATTACCCTTCTTATCAAGTCCCGGCGACGACGGCAATGACGAAGTTCCATTTCTCGCCTCCTGATTCTGTTGAATAGCACTCGTTACATTCTCATGTATTCTCGATAATGTCGTTATAAAAGCATTTTTATTCGACGACGGACTATTTCTACTAGACGTGCTCGATGAATTTGCATTGATTTTCATTTGTTCACCATTCTTTCCTATCATATGATTATTTTCCTTTGACGCACTACAACTATTATTATCGTATGGAATCGCATAAAAACGATCGCGCGTATCGCGATTCATTTCAATTTGTTCATTACGTACACAATCGGAATCATTTAAATTTTGTATTCTATGTTGCTGCTGCTGAAGCTGCTGCTGATGATGATGGTGATGATGATGTCGAGGTAGAGGTTTCAATCTATCATCCGGATAGGCAATTGCTCTCTGTCTTGATATTTGCTGATGATGAAATTCATTGGGAGGCCAAACTTGTCTCTGTAATTTTTGTGGTCGCGCATAAAATTCACGTTGAATGACACTTTGACATTGTAATGGTCCAGTGGGATTGTCACTCGATAGCCAACCAATTGGTTGACTTGGCCTGCGAAGAAATTCCTCCTTTTGCTCGACACTTTTTTTCAAACGATTCATAATATAGGAATTGTCGAAACCCTCATTACCAGTGAGCGTTGAATTTGAATCGAAAGACGAGAGACTACTGTCCTTACTTGCCGGCGATGAATCCCTACGCGAATTCACACTCAAACGTGAATCAAATGTATTGACACTGCCATAAATTGCAAGATCTGATTCACTCATTGGACCGCTTCCTTCACTTGCGCGACGTGCAACAACACGTTTACTGCCACGATGCATTATTTGAGGTTCGGCGCGAGCAATTGGAAAACAATGTCGATCCAGTGATTCGGTAAATGTTGATGAGTCTTGATTTACTCTCTCGTAAAGTGGATCTTTTATTCGATCGTAAATTCGATCGCTACTCGTTCGAGAGTATATCGATTCGGGTCGCGTTCTGTCGTGTAAGTCGTACCTGAAAAATATTATTTTTCAAATTAAAAATCATTCAATTTCAATTTTGTCAATTAAATTTTGAAAAAATTATTTTTTTATTAAAAAATTAATTTAATTTATGGTTACTACGGTAGCAATTTGTTTTAAATTTCGTAACTTTTTACAATTTTACATACATTTTTTTTAAATTCAATGACTGAATATAAAAATTGTTTCAATAAATTTTGGTCTTATTTTAAAAACATAAAATGATTTTATTTAACTCATAATAATCAGTTTAACAATTTAGTTATTATTCGTAGGTAAGACAAAATAAAGGAAATTAAAAGAATAAAAAGTTACTATTTTGTTTGCTTGGAGTAAAAACAAATATTAATTTTACAAGGTACCTAGACCAATTTTTTCTACTAATTTAATATAAAGAGTCGAGACTATTAAATAAGTAAAGTATTTTCCAAAAGCACAAAAATAATGAAGCTAAATCCCATAAAAGAGAGAAAAAAATGTTGAATTTTAAGAAAATCGGATTTTTGAATTTTTTCGAATTTTTGATAATTTTAGATTTTTTACCAAAGAGTCGAGACTATTAAATAAGTAAAGTATTTTCCAAAAGCACAAAAATAATGAAGCTAAATCCCATAAAAGAGAGGAAAAATTGTTGAATTTTAAGAAAAACGGATTTTTGAATTTTTTCGAATTTTTGATAATTTTAGATTTTTTACCAAAGAGTCGAGACTATTAAATAAGTAAAGTATTTTCCAAAAGCACAAAAATAATGAAGCTAAATCCCATAAAAGAGAGGAAAAATTGTTGAATTTTAAGAAAAACGGATTTTTGAATTTTTTCGAATATTTGATAATTTTAGATTTTTTACCAAAGAGTCAAGACAATTTAATAAGTAAAGTATTTTCCAAAAGCACAAAAATAATAATAATAAATCCTATAAAAGAGAGGAAAAAATGTTGAATTTTAAAAAAATCGGATTTTTGAATTTTTGATAATTTTCGATAATTTTACATTTTTTACCAAAGAGTCGAGACAATTTAATAAGTAAAGTATTTTCCAAAAGCACAAAAATAATGAAGCTAAATACCATAAAAGAGAGAAAAAAATGTTTAATTTTAAGAAAAACGGATTTTTGAATTTTTTCGAATTTTTGATAATTTTAGATTTTTTACCAATGATTCGAGACAATTTAATAAGTAAAGTATTTTCCAAAAGCACAAAAATAATGAAGCTAAATCCCATAAAAGAGAAAAAAAATGTTAAATTTTAAGAAATTTGGATTTTTGAATTTTTTCGAATTTTTGATAATTTTAGATTTTTTACTAAAGACTCGAGACTATTAAATAAGTAAAGTATTTTCCAAAAGCACAAAAATAATGAAGCTAAATACCATAAAAGAGAGGAAAAATTGTTGAATTTTAAGAAAAACGGATTTTTGAATTTTTTCGAATTTTTGATAATTTTAGATTTTTTACCAAAGAGTCGAGACTATTAAATAAGTAAAGTATTTTCCAAAAGCACAAAAATAATGAAGCTAAATCCCATAAAAGAGAGGAAAAAATGTTGAATTTTAAGAAAAACGTATTTTTGAAATTTTTCGAATTTTTGATAATTTTAGATTCTTTAGAAGAAGTAAAATTTACTCTGGAAATAATTTTTAATAAAAATTTTAATTTCATTTTCTTCCTAAATCAGTAAAACTTGCTATTAAAAATTTTTATTTACCAGAACAACTTTTACTATTTCCGAAGAAAAATTCTTTATAAAAATTAGAAAATTTACTTCAGAAGAAGTAAAATTTACTATGTAAATAATTTTTAATAGAAATTTAAATTTCTTTTTTTTGTTAAATCAATGAAATTTCCTCTAAAAATAGTAAAATTTACTAGGATCAAAATTCTAATTTCCAAGAATAACTTTTACTATTTTCAAGGAAATTTTTTTTTATGAAAATTAGAAAAATTTACTCCAGAAGTATTAAAATTTACTCTGTAAATAATAATTTGTAATAAAAAATTTAATTTCTTCTTCATTTTGAACCATTCAAATTTTTTCCAAAAATATAGTAAAATTTTGCTAAAAAAAATTATTATTATATATTTGTTACCTCGAGTTAAACAATTTCCAAGTTTTTGATACTATTTTAAAAAGTTTAAAAACTCTAAAAAAATATAAAAAGATTTTTAAGTTTCGATAAACTCAAAATTTTCCAAAGTTTACAAGAAGTAAACACTTTTCTTCAATTTAACTAAAAGTATTTTTAATCTATACCAAAATGACAATTTTTGCAAGTTTTTCTTTGTTAAAAAAAGGGAAAATGAGGAGAATATTCATAATTTATTTATATTTCATATTTTAGGTATTTAGTGGAGTTTTTTGTTGAATTTTTTCTGTTAATTATTGATATTTTTTTATCTTTCTTTGTAGTTTGCAATATTTATAAATTATGAATCAAAATTCTTATTAGAACAAAATTCAAAATTAAAATTCTTTCTTTCGAAGTTAAAACAAAATTCAAATTACTTTTATTACATTTTATCATTGCATTTTGTGTATTGAAAATAAATTTCAGTAAAAATTAGTAAAATTTACTTAAAAAAATTGTTCCATTACTTTTTCTGTATCGAAAGTAAATTTCAGTAAAAATTAGAAAAATTTAATATTAAAAATTGTTATTTCCAGAATAAATTTTATAATATGAAAAGTAATAAATTTTTCTGTTTAGAGAATTTAGTAGAATTTAATAAAAAATTCAGTAAAATATACTTTCAACTCAGTAAAATTTATTCTGCAACTAGCACAAATTGACAGAAATTTCAAACAATTCAAAAATTTATGTTTCACTTTGTAAGCAAATTGTCTATTTGTTACTTCATCCAAAAAAATTTTTTATTTCAAGAATTCTAAAAAATTAGAATGTCCCGTATATTTTTTTAAATAAATAAATAAAAAATGAAGAAAAAGGTCAAAAAAGAGGAAAAAATCCTACACTTAATTTTTATCAAAATATCATTAGATACGAGTAACAAAAATATCAACATCGTTAATAAAAAATTTATACGATTCAAGTTCGGCAAATAAATTTTTTTCCAAATATTTCACAAAATTTCCCGACTATTTTAGATTTTTTTCAGAATTCTTTTAATTAACAGGATTAGCAGTAGTTCTGTTAATTAAAAATTGAAAAGAGAAAAAAAACAAAAACAAAATTCCCACCTGGCATCGTTTTGGTTTCGATTCGATCGCAGTGGAGGATCGGGAGTCTCCTTCGGATTGAGTGACGGTGGAGAGGCTCGTCTTTGTGCCCTCTCGTCAAGTGATTTTCTTTGTAAGAGAGCAGGTGCCGAGGAGGTGGAGGACTCATTAGCGATCGCCTGATCCTCAGAGAGGGAAAGCGAATCCTTCCGCAAGCCATAGTGCGAGACAGTGCCCTGATTTTCCGAACCAGGAGGCGAACAAATCCAGGATTGTCTTGCGCGCGCTGTATTCGCCGGATTCATGCCGATCGCTCGTTTCTGTTTTTGCGTCAATCTCTCAGGTGATCGCAATCTTGGCCGTTGATTCGTCTCCGGATTGTGGGCCGTTTCACCGAAATACTGAAAAACAATTGGAGAAAAAAAATTGTTAATATCAAAATTAATGTCAAATAAATTCTGAATTAAACTCAAATAAATTCTAAATTAAATTCAAATAAATTCGAAATTAAATGAAATTTTCAATTAAACTTCAATTTAAATTTAAAAACAAATTACTCAGTGATAAATAATTTACATAAATAAAAATAATTTTCCAGGGGAAAAATTTCTCCTTTCAAATGTTTTTGTTCCATTTAAATAAAAAAATTGAAATAAAAAATAGTTTCAAAATTACCCTTTGCAAAATAAAAATAAAATAAAATTACAAAACAGTTTCAAAATTACCCTTTGCAAAATAAAAATAAAATAAAATTACAAAATAGATTCAAAATTACCCTTTGCAAAATAAAAAAATAGAGTTAAAAAATTATCCTTTGCAAAATAAAGAAAATAGAGTTAAAATTACCCTTTGAAAAATAAAAAAGAATTAATAAAAAGGTAAAAAAATTACCCTTTGCAAAATATCGTCGTCTTTAGAGACAACAAGAAGTCGCAGCCATGGATTCGCTTGATGAATTCGTTGAACAACACTCGCGTACTGTTCGCCTCTTGTCGGAATTCCATCGACAGCAACAACTCGATCACCAGTCCTGAGGCCCGCTTCTTCTGCCGGTGAATTTGAATGCACCTGTTTTACGAAGATCGTGTCCATCGGCTCTTCAATCTTCGTCCGCTCGTGTCCCGGTAACATCTTTAATTTCAAATCGAATTATTTTTTTTCTTCACTTATAATATTATATATAGATACAGTAAACACGAATTTTTATTATTATTTCCTACTTTCAAATATTTCACGATTTTATCATTTATATTTTTTTTTCAATTCTCCGCAACAATATTGAACTTTTAACCGCGCATTTATCTTTTAAGCCATAATTAAATTATCTATAAATGAAAATCAATTGTAATTTAAAAGGAAAAAAAACTGGTATTGAAAAAAAATTGGAAAAGAAAAAATTAAAAAATTTTGAAGAGAAAAAATTTAAAATACAATCTTTTCTGTATAAGGAAGCAAAAAAAAAAAAACATTTGCGAAAAAAATAGAAAAAAGAAAAAATCCAATAAAGCAAGAATCGAAAAAAGAAAAAATCGAAACTAGAAAAAATGGAAAAGGGAAAAAATCGAAAAAAGAAAAAACTGAAAAAAACATCGAGAAAAGAAGACAACGGAAATTTCAAAAAAGAAGAGAAAAAAATTGAAAAATGAAAAATAATTGGATTTTTGCGAAGAATATTATTAACATATAATTAATTTTCTTTAAAAAATGAATTCTTTTCAGAAATGTTATTAAAATTGTACTTAAAAGAATTGAATTCCTGCGAAGACTTTTATTAATTTAAAAAATAATTGAATTCTTGCTAAGAATTTTATTAAATTTTTTTTTTAAATAATTCAATTCTTTCGAGGAATTTAATTACAATTGTACTGAAAATAATTGAATTTTCCTACAGAATTTTATCAAGTTTTTTCAAAATAATACAATTTCTGCATAAAATTTTTTAAAGAATTAAATTTTTTGCGAATATTTTTAATATTTATGAAAATATTTGAATTTTTTCCAGAAAATTTGATACAAAATTGTATTAAAAATAGTTCAACTTTTACGAAGAATTCTTTTAATTATAAAAATAATGGAAAAAAGAGAAAAAAATTTGAAAACAAAGAATCTCGAAAAGAAAAAAATTGAAAAAAGAAAAATAAAGAACCGAAAATTTTTTTAAATAATTGAAATTTTGCGAAAAATTTTATTAAATTTTTTTAAAAATAATACAATTTTATACGAAAAATGTAATTAATTGTGAAAATAATTGAATTCACAAGTAAGAATTTTATTAGAAATTTTAAAAATAATTGAATTCTCTCGAGAAATTTAATTAAAATTGAACTGAATATAATTGAAAATAAAATTGAATTTTCATAAAGAGTTTTATCAAAATTTTTGAAAATAATTAAATTCTCGTGAAGAATTTTATTATTTATGAAAATAATTGATTTTTTAAAAAGAATTTTTTAAAACTTTTTGAAAATAATTGAATTGTATCAAAAGAATTTAATTAAAACTTTTGAAAATATGTAAATTTTTTTTCAGAAATTATTAAAAACTAATAATAATGGAAAATAATTGAATTCTTATGCAGAATTTTGTCTGAAAAATTGAAATAATGAAATTTTTGCGAAGAATTAAATTATAATATTTTAAAAAGAATTGAATGTCTTCGAGAAATTTAATTAAAATTGAACTGAATATAATTGAAAATAAAATTGAATTTTCATAAAGAATTTTATCAAAACTTTTGAAAATAATTAAATTCTTGTGATAAATTTTATTACTTATAAAAATAGTTGAAAATAGAGAAAATATTAAATTAAAAAATTAATAAAATTAAAGAAAAAGAAAAATTTAGAAAAAAAAAAAAATTGAGAAAAGGAAAAATCTTGACATATAAAAAAACCGAAAATTTTAAAAATTGAAAAAAAAATAAAAAATGTAGAACGGAGAAAATTGAATAAAGAAAAAAAATTGCAAAAGAAAAATTCAAAAAAAGAAAAATGTAGAACAAAAAAAATGGAAAACAAAAATTTGAAAAGGGGAAAAATTCTATAAAAGAAAAAATGGAATAAAAACAAATGTTTACAAGAACAAGAAGGAAATTGTAATAAATAAGTAAATAAATAGGAAAAAATCTCGAATGGAAAAAATTATAAAAAGGAAAATTCAAAAAAAGAAAAAATCTCGAATAGAAAAAATTGATAACAAAAAATAATCGAGAAAAAAGAAAAACCGAAAAATTCGAAAAAAGAAGAAATCTCCAAAAGGAATATATGAAAAAAAAAATGTAGAACAAAAAATATTGAAAACAGAAAAATTTGAAAAAGGAAAAGTCGAAAAAGAGCAAATGTGGAAAAGAACAAGAAAGAAATTGTAATAAATAAATAATGTAATAAATAAATAAATAAGAAGAAATCTCACATGGAAAAAATTGTAAAAAGAAAAATTCAAAAAAAGAAGAAATCTCGAATAGAAAAAATTGTAAACAAAAAAAATCGAAAAGAGAAAAACCGAAAATAGAAAAATTCAAAAAAAAAGAAAAAAAATTTTCGAAAAAAATATTCTGAAAAAAATGACCTCTAAAAGAAATATTCTAAAAAAGAAATATTTTAATTTATAAAAATTCTAATTCGAAAACAAATTTTTTTTCTGTTATTGATAAAAAAAAATACTTACGTAACAGGACTCAGGCGGATAGACGATAAAGTGTCGAAGGGTAAATCCAAAGCCATTTTTGCTACGTCGCAGAAGTAAAGTACGTGGTCCACGAGGTGGGGAATCCTGCAGCAGTGACTGACCGCAGGCGGTGGAAATTGTTGTAGTAGGTGTTATTGAAACCGGTGTTGGAGGAGGAGGCGAAGCGTGCCCTATCTGAAAAAAATTCAAAGAATTCATTATACTTCTATTGTAAAACAAAAAAATCAATTTTCTTTACAATTAACACACACACAATCTGATGATTAGAGCTTAATAAAAAAAAACATAAAATAAAAAAAAATAATATACAAAAGAAAATTTTCATAAAGGTAAAATATTGCTGAGATTATAAATTTCATTCAAAAGACTCTCTACGAAACGAGAATAGAGAAATTGGGTTGATTCCTCTATCTAATATTCGACAAAAATGAGTCTAATGACCCTTTCAAAAAATTAATGAAACCAAAATTTTTAATGCTCAAATGAACCAATTTTTTTTTGTTTTTTAATTAAAAAAAAAAGTATGGAAATTTAAAAAAAAATTTTTTAATTTAAAAAATTAAAATTCTTCAAATTTCTTTTCAAAAAAATTGCATCAAGTATTAAAAAATTAATTTTACAAAGTCCCAAAATATTTAATTTAAATTTTCGAGTTTTAATCAATAAAAAAAATTAATTTCATATTCAAAAAATATTTTTTAATATTTTTAATATAAAAAAAAATTAAAAATAAAATAAGTGATTAAATTAGAAATAAAATAAAATTGGAAATTAGATTATCAATAAAAAATATGAAAATTCTTTTCGAAATAAAATAAAAAAGGTAATTAATAATATCGGCAATTAATTAAAATTCAAACACTAATATAAATATTTTTATCAAATTAATTAAACTCTTGGAAATTAACAATTTTCTTGTTAAATTTTATTTATAGATGTAATATGTCATAAAAAATAGATAAAACATATATTTATATTTAGTTATTCAAAACATTCATTAATAGTTTGTGATCTAATTTATGAATGAATGGGGAAACCTCGGAAAGTTTATTAGAACTACGAGTTGAATTATAATAGGTCAAGTTTGACGTCAAAAGATTTTCCGATGATACTAAGCAAATGAAAAAATAAAATAAATTTAGAAAATAATTAAAAAAATATTCAGTTTTTAGAATTTTTTATTACTCATAAAAAATCGAATATATGAGCAAAAAGAAAAAAAAACAAAATTCGAAAAATATTTTATATTAGACAAATTTTTTGTAGCTTGAAAATAATTTTTAAATTTAAAAAAAAAATTGCTTTTGTATTATTTATATTTAAAATGTTTATTAAAGAAATATTTCTCGCATTTCGACTTTGAACGTGATTATAAAATTAAATAAAATTAAATTATTCACAAGAATTAAATTATTCAAAATAAATTGAATTATCCAAAAGAATTAAACTACTCAAATAAATTAAATTATTCAAATTCCTCAATAAATTATTTAAATAAATTGAATTCCAATTTTCAAAAATAATATAATTTTCATTTAAAAATACCTCAATAAATTATTTAAATAAATTAAATTCCAATTTTCAAAAATAATATAATTTTCATTTAAAAATTCTTCAATAAATTATTTAAATAAATTAAATTCCAAATTTCAAAAATAATATAATTTTCATTTAATAAAATAACTTTCAACTAAAGATGCGTTAGTGGTTTAAAATCAGTTTTCAGGCGCTGGAATTTTTTTTTTCTAAAAAAATAATTAGTATTCAATTTTTTTTCTAAATATGTTGAGTATCATAAACACGTACACGTGAATGTAACGACCTTAATTGTCCATCTCATTGCCTAGGTTAACCCTTGTTACGAGACCCACGCCACGGATGTTATCACTAATATTAATACTAGGTCTAGGTAATTCAATTGTTTAAAAAAAAGAAAATTATTATCTAAAATCATCAAAAAATTAAAAAAAAAAAAAAAAAAAAATTAAAAAATTACTCTTTTTCTATCCTATATTTAAAATTTTCAAAGTTGGAAAAATCGAACAAAAAAAATATTAAATAACAAAATAAAATTAACAATAGAAAACAAATAATAATAATAAAGTGAAAATAATAATAAAAAAATAATAGTAACAATAAAAAATGATGAAAAGAATAATGACAAGAAAAAACAAGAAAAAAAACTAGTAATAAAAAAAATAATTAATAAAGACTATTATTGTAATAATAGTGAAAATAAAAGTAATAATAATTAAATTTACTATTTTAATTTTCTAACAATTTAAAAATAATTTTAAAACAATTTAAGTTTCTAGCAATAGGTGAAAATTGAAAAATATTTTATTTTGCAAAAAAAAAAAATTTATCCAATGTGCACTAATGTATTTATACAAGTTTTCTAAATATAAATCAAAGAACGAGGAGGAGCAGACTTAAAGGTATATTATATAGTCGACGCAAGTAGCAGCCAGTTGAACATATGTTGCCTCAAAAAAAAAAACCTTGCAACATATAACTACGTCACAAACTCAATCTGAATAGGAATTTCTTTTTTTAATCTCTCAAATTTTAAACATAATTCTCATTTTTAGAAAATTTTCTAGAGAATTTTCTTTATATTATCATTTTTTATAAATAACAAATAATTTAATAATTTTTAATTTTTTAATTTTTAATAATTTAATTTTAATTTTCAATTTTCAATTTTCAATTTTTTTTACTGAAAATTTATTTGATTTATAATTTATTTATTTATTAGTTATCAAATTTATTTATATAATATAAATATAATATTATATTATAAATTTACAATAAATTATAATATAGAGAAAAGATGTCTTTCTTTATTATAAATGTCTAAAAATAAAGGAGTATTTACACTTCATACATTAATAAATTATAATATAAATATAATTTCTCTGTTTAAAAAATAATATAAGTATATAGGGGAAATAATTGTTCTTTTAAGTTCGAAGAGAATTTTTTTCTTTCCTTTTTTCAAAGCGCAGTGAATAACTTTGCATCAGAAGAAAATATTAATTCTCCAAGTAGAAAAAGTCTGTTTTGTCAGACACAGATCGGAGCAATTATAAGTAGATAAATTTTTTCCGTCAGACAAACTCTTAAGTAGAAAATACTCTCAGGTCAGACATTATTTCCTTCTCCTACAATTATCTTCGGTAAATAGCAAAATATAATATTAATAATAATAATAATAATAATAATAATAATAATAATAATAATAATAATAATAATAATAACAAAATTATAATTAAAAAATTATAAATTATAATTATATTATAATTATTATTATTAATTATAAAAAAAAGTAATTAGTTTGTACTATCAAAATTTAAATCAACAAAAATTTTTACTAAATTTTAATTAGTGACTTACTTTTTGCTATTGAATTAGTAAATTTTACTAATAAAATAGTAGAAATTACTATAAATTAGTAATAATTTATTTATTAATTCAATATTACTATTAAATTAGTTTTTACCAATAAATAGTAAGTTTTACTAATTTATTTGAAAAATAGAATAATTTAGTAAATTTTACAAATAAATAGTAATTTCTACTAATTTATTTGAAAAATTGAATAATTTAGTAAATTTTACTAATAAATAGTAATTTTTACTAATTTATTTGAAAAATGGAATAATTTAGTACATTTGACTAATAAATAGTAATTTTTACTAATTTATTAGAAAAGTTTACTAATTTAAAAATTTTACTTCTAAAAATATTTACTAATTTGAATTAGTGACTGTTTTTTTTTGCTTTTTAATTATTAAATTTTACTATTAAATCGTAATTTCTATTTTATTAGAAAAATTTACTAATTTAAATATTTTATTAGTAAAAATATTTACTAATTCAATTTAGAGGAGCAAAAGAGTAATAGGTATACAATAAATAAGTAGTCATAATAATACTAATAATAATAAAAATAGATAAAATGAAAAAAAGATAAAATAATAACAATATAATAGAATAAAATACAATACAAATGTTATTATTATATAAATAATATTATAAATAAAATTTTAAAAATTGTTGAAAAAAATTGTAATAATGATAAAAATAAAAAAAAGAAAATAATAATAAAAAAAATATTAATTACAGTTAGTGAATTGTTTTATGTACTCCTAGAAATTTACACTTTCAAACACAATTTCTACTTCAAAAAAATTATTTTTCCTCGCTACTTCTTTACCCGATTTTATATTTATAAACCTTAAATAATAAAACCTTTATAAAAACCAATAACCATGATGAAAAAAAAATTTAATTATAAAATAGAAATTCTAATCTGAGGTTGAAGTTGAACTCATATAATATATATATATGGTGTTAGTGATAAATCACTGCATTCACAATGACGAAATAATATAATGTGAAGCAATCTGTATTACTTTCACGGTTAACAAAGACTTAATTTAGGGGATAGTTCTTTGATCTGTGTATACTTTTCTTTTTCTCCTTTGAAAAAAACAACAAATACATAAGGTCTTTTTTCCCAAGGATTACACAATTTTTAAATTTTTAAACTACAATTTATTACTTTCACTGAACCCTTTTATAATAGTCCAACAATAAAAAATTACTAAAATATTGTTTTTTAATTGCAATTACAAAATTATTGGTGAAAAAAAATTAGTGAATGAAAATTAAGAGCATTAAAAATAAATAAATAAATAAATAAATAGACAAACAAATAGATAAGTAAATAAATAAATAAATAAATAAATAAATGAATAAATAAATAAATAAATAAATAGATAAATAAATAAATAAATACCTAAATAAATAATAAAATAATAATTATTATTACGAATAATAATAACGAAAGGACGTCTTTTTTGTTTTCCAAGCCCATTGTTATTCAATAAATAAAAATATAATAATTACTAAAAATAAAATTAGCAATAAATAAATAAAAAAAAAAATTAAAAATTAGTACAATTTTCTCATCCTATTTTGTTGTACTTTTTAAAAATTATTTTTTTCAATTTCGAAGAAAAAATTAAGAAGAAAAATGGAAAACTGATAATTTTTTTCTATAGTAGCGGTGGAAAAAACAGAATGGAGACAATTATTGACAAAAATGACACGATAAACTAGTTCGTATCTCTGTTAAACAAAATATTCTTCACGTTAACGCTAGTTTG